AGGGTTCGGATCCCACATACAGACCGGTTCCCGCTCACTGGCTGAGCGAGGCACGGGGGCAACACCGAGGGTTGCGATCCCGTTGCCGGTCCCGGTCCGGTACGGGGGCGACACTGAGGGTTGCAATCTGTTGCCGGACACGGAAAAAGACAAAAAAAAAAAAAAAGAAAAAAGAAAACCACATTGCCTCACAGCATGAGCAAGGGCAAAGCCTCCTGAACGTTGTGGAAACTGTGCGTGGACAGACAAGGTTCTGCCATATGGCTGAAGCCCTGGTGTCAGGTTTCTCAGTAGAATATTGAAATTGTTCTTTGTCACCTCTGGTAACACACTAATACTAGTTTATGTGGAGTACGTGTGAGTGGACACAAATTGTGGCTTCTCTGCAGGTTTGGTTCTAGCCTAGCATGAAAGGGGAGCATCATGTAGATCATGGTCACCCGCCCGCTCTCAGCGGATCTGACTGTAACTTTTCTATGGTTTTTGTGCTCATGGGATGCAGTTGTGTGCATTGACTTGCATCCCCAAGGTGTGAGCGGCCGTGGCACTGGAACTGTTGGCCACCGCAAATCTCATTCTGCGAGTCTTAGGCTGGGTATGTGGTGTTTGCTCCGTGGCTGGAATAGCGGGAAGAGACTCTTGCTCTTTCTGAGCTTTCCTCTTTCCCTGAGCCTGAAAACCCAACTGTCATTGTGTCAGGTGTGCACATGCCTCAACCCGCTGTAGCACCTGGTAGCTGACTCTCTAGGTGCTGTGGGGCACACGGACTGGAAGACCGAAGGCTGCAGCCCATGGCCTCAGGGTCCTGGGGTGGCTTCTGAGTGCCCTGTCTTGGTCAGTACCTCTCTGCCCTTTCCAGTGACTGTCCTCCAGAGCTTGTCTCCTCCCTGAGAACATGGCAGACACCAGACCAGTCTCCCAGGCCACACCCTGCATCTGCACCAGCTCCTCTTGGGTTCCTGTTTGGCAGAGAGCAGTTTTTCTGTTGTCAATCCCTCCCCATGGGCTCTGAGTCCCATTCCTTACCTGGAACATTCCATTTTCAGTGTCCTTTTGTCTTCCTGGTATTTTTAACCTTGCTGAAGCATGACCTTTATACCAGCACTCGTTTTTAAAAGCTGTCCCTTGCCCCTTTTCCGTTGCCTTTCTGCCTGCAGAGCCAGGCTTGCAGGGGCCATCTTTCTGCGTCTCTGCACTTCAGTCTTCGCAGTCCCCATGCCATGTGGCTTACTTCGTGCAACTGGGAGCTGACTGTGCTGAGGTCTACCATGCTCCTGGGTGTGAATCCACAGCCAGGTCCTGTTCTCAGCTCCCCTCTTTGTAGCCCCTGTCCCAGTGGCCTCCTCCTTCCGTGGATCTGTGATGCCCTCCTTGTGTGGCTGCTTCTGTCATCTGCACTTCCTGAGTCTTTCTAGGCCAGCCATCCCTTGTGACTTCTGCCTGCGTTTCCTGCCTCCAGATGAGCTGTGCTCTGCCCAGGGCGGCTACCTCTTCACCCTCGAGGTCTACTACACGTGCATTGCTTCTGGTTCTTGCATAGACCTGGCCCCAGTGTGTGCTGTAGGTCTGTCTGCCCCTTCCCTGGGCAGTAGGCTGCAGCAGCACACCTACCTTGGCCCTCGTTCATCACCATACCCTCCATCTGCAGGACCAGGGGCCTGGAACTCTCCCGAGTGTACGCCTAAGGGACATCGCTCTTTGTCTGGTGTGCTGTCATTCTGCCCCTTCATTAGCTCATTCCTTTCATCCTTTAGATGCCTCCACTCCTCCCTCAGAGTGCTCATTGCTCTTGCAATTGGAATGTGTCATTCCTATCCCTGTAGCATGACCATCTACCCTTGGGAAGGGGAAGCACCTGAGAGCTGGGTTTACATCTGGCTGCCGCTGCCTCCTTTTTTACACATGGATGATGAATGAATCGGGGTTATATGGAGAGCTCTGAGGAATCTGGACTTGAGTCTTCTACATCACTAATTTATTAACTGTATTTAGAGAAAGTATGGTGGTTATTATGTCTCTGGAATTAGGAACACAGGTTGCAAGGACTCTGAATCTGTGCATTTACCATTCAGGTTGAAATGTCTCACATTTCTTCCCCCATGAGCAGAACTCAGGAAGCTCTGAAGAGTGGGCACTTCATCAACGTCCTGAGCATCCTGATGCGGCTGCAGCGTATCTGCAACCACCCTGGGCTGGTAGAGCCGCGGATCCCGGATTCCTCTTATGTGGCAGGGTCTCTTGTGTATAGGTCTGCGTCTCTGATTCTAAAAGCACTGGAGAGAGATTTTTGGAAGGTAAGTGGAGTGTTCAGAAAGCTCAGTCACTGTTTGAGGTCTTTTCTGGGTATATTATAGATAAAATGGTTCTTGGAAGTTGGTTTCCGACAAACTCTGTCCTGCATTTTGAAATTGCCTGGTACTTGGCAATACTTGGGAATGTTTATGGTATGCTGCCCCTTGACATAGCATTCAACTTCTGGAAATTTATCCAAGGGAGTTAAGCTCACAGGCGAAGAGAGATGCAAAGGGAGGATTTTCCTGGCCTTACGGATGAGAAGCAACCTCAGTGTGCACGGTATATAAAGTTGCTTCACTGAGGGCCAGAGTGATGCCTGTGTATTGGCACAGAGAAACCTGCGGAGTGCCAAGAGGCTGTACCAGAGGGCATGTCCAGATGCTGCCTGACAGACAGTGAGCTGCAGTGATTATGTGCTGTGGACCCAGAGTGCACGTTAGGGCCACCCTGTACCTTCCACACACCAGCTGGGTGGTTTTGTGTGAGATTGTCTCTTTAGGCTGTAATATGGGGATAATTACACACTTTCTGTTGCTTGTGTATTGACTTGATAATTCGTGGAAAGAACCTTACACAGTAGTCCTCCCCTTATCTAAGATCCCCAGTGGATACCTGAAGCCATGGATAGTATCAAACCCTATATATACTTTGTCTTTTCCTATATGTACATACCTATGATAAAGTTTCATTTATAAGTCAGGCACAGTGAGAGATTAACAACTAATAAAAAATAGAACAATTATACCAATGTACTGTAATCAAAGTTATGTGAACCTGTGCTTATGCTCTTGTGAGCTCTCTCCCTCTCTTTCAGAATATCTTCTTGTACTATACTGCAAGTAACTGAAACTGCAGATAGTGGGGGACTACTGTATTGTACCTAGCACCTGAGAGCTCAGTATATGATATTTCTGTTGTTTTCATTCATTTATTCAGCAAATACTTATCGAATGCCTACCAGGTGCCAGCCATTTTTCTAGACATTGGAACTAACAAAACAGTGAGCAGGACAGCCAGCAATCCCTGCTCTTCTGGGGTCTCCTTCCTTCTTTCTGTTTATCTGTCTAATATCTCAGGGTATTAGAGCAGAGATATTACATATGTAGTAGTTTTTATGATGTACTTTCATTTTTTTTTTTTTCCCTTTTGTCTTTTTTCGTGACTGGTAACGGGATCGCAACCCTCGGTGTCGCGCCCGTACCGCGACCGGCAATGGGATCGCAATCCTCGGTGCCGTGCCCGCACCGCGCTCAACCAGTGAGCGGACCAGTCTCTATATGGGATCCGAACCCTCGGCGGGAGCGCCACCGGGCTCCCAAGCGCCACACTCTATCGAGTGCATCACCGGGCCAGCCCATGATGTACTTTCATTTTAAAAACAACTTTATTGAGATAATTCACGTACCATAAGACTCAACTTTCCAAAGTGTACAATTTGCTGGTTTTATTGTATTCACAGAGTTGTATATCCATCACCACTAGTTCCAGAACATTCCATTACCCCAAGAAGAAATCCCATACACATGAGCTTTCAATTCCCATTCTTCTTCCCTCCAGCCCTGTCAACCACTAATTTACTTCTGTCTCTATGGATTTGCCTGCTCTAGACATTTCATATAAATGGAATCATATGTGGCCTTTTGGATCTGGGTTCTTGGCATAATATTTTCAAGTTTCATCCACGTTGTAATATGTGTCAGAATTTCATTTCTTTTTAAGACTGAATAATGTTATGTTGCATGGGATAGACCACATTTTGTTTATCCATTGATTGGTTGATGGATATTTGGTGTTTCCACTTTTTGACTGTTATAAATAACGCTGCTGTGAATGTTTATCTACATAGTTTTGTGTGGACATAGATATGTACCTGAGAGTAGTGAAAACTTAAGAGTGGAATAGCTGGGTTGTGTGGTTGCTCTTGTTCAGCCTTCTCAGAGGCTACACCATTTTACATCCCCACCAGCTGTGTGCGAGGGGTTCACTTTCTCCATACCCTCACCAGCACCTTCTGGTTTTTTTTTTTACTTTAAAAAAAATTTTTTTTTCCTTTTTGTCTTTTTTTACTGACCGGTAACAGGATCGCAACCCTCGGTGTAGCGCCCGTACCGGGGACCGGCAACGGGATCGCAACCCTCGGTGTTGCGCCCGCACCACGCTCAGCCAGTGAGCGGGAACTGGTCTCCACATGGGATCCAAACCCTCGGCGGGAGCGCCGCCGCACTCCCAAGCGGCGCACTCTCCAGTGCGCCACCGGGCCGGCCCTAAAAAATTTTTAACTTTTCTTTTTTTTTTTTTTTTCCATTTTTCCCCCCATATTTCTTTGTTTTTGTAGTTGTTTTTCATTTTTTGTCTTTGTTTTGTCTTTTTAACATCTTTTTTTTGATTCTCATCATCCTAGTGGGTGTGAAGTTGTACTTTCATTCTTTAATGTCCTAAGAGAAACACAGGTGAGTGATGCAAGGATGGGCGCTTGCTCCTGCTGTGGACTCAGACAGTGCATCTTCCTGTGTCCTTCTTGACTGCTGAGTGCTGTTGGACTAGCACCATGACTGGGCCGCAGTATCACTCCCCGCCCCATGTGGCTGTTTGTCACTGAGACCCCAAGAAGGCTACCTCCAGTCTTGTCTGGAGTAAATCATACAGGGATCACCAATTAGAGGTGTGCAGTGTCTCCCACCGGCATGCACGCACCAATGCACTCAGGTCTTTCCTGAGGCCCCCCCCCTTCTCAGAGAGGCTCGTCCTCTCCAGGTGTCCAGACCAGCAGTGTCCTAGATTCTGCCCTTTTGCTCCTGCTGCATCTGGCTTGTCTGTCAGTGCTGCCTTGTCCATTTCCACTGCTATTGGAGAGGCCCAAGTGCCGTCATTTCCAATTTACAGATAGGGATACCAGAACCATGAGATCCGGGGCCTGGTCTTTCCATTTTGTAGTAGGTTTTGATTTTTTGTCAAGTGCTTTTTCTACCACCTCATGTAGCAAGATTTTTTTTTTCTTTTTCAACTTAGGAAACCGATCTTTCTATATTTGATCTCATTGGGTTAGAAAATAAAATCACTCGCCATGAGGCAGAATTGCTGTCTAAGAAGAAGGTAACGAGGAAACTCATGGAGGAGCTGCTTACCTTGCCACCCCCACCAGCCCGGCCGGTGGCCGTGAAGCTGAAGGCCAGCAGGTGTGTGCACCCACCGGCTGCTGTGAGGAAGGGGGGGATACTTGGGGATCGGCTTGCAGGGCTGTGGGGCTAGGGCACCTTCCTCAGCTGACCTTGGGCTATAAATGGTGAAAAGAAAGGCTGTTAATCTAATTTAGTCATTTGCTTTTCCTGGGAATTTCCCACATATCTTTGGTTTCTGTGAGCGTAGCTGGTTACAGACATCTCTTGGGCAGTGCAGTGTGGCTACGCACCTGCCCTGAAGAACGACCCTGTTGGTCGTTGTTAAGCAAACTTTAGGATTTGGGGGTGCTGTTGGGGCTGAATTTAATCTGGTGCCTGGTAGCAGGTGTCACGGCCAGACCAGACATCCGGTTGTGAGAGCAAAGGGCATGCCCTTAGGGTGTGGCATGGAATGGTAGAAGCTCCAGCCCTGACAATGCAGAGCATTGTTCTTATAGATGACGTCAGTTAGACATCTAAAATGAGGGTGTTGTAGGTGTCACAAGGCTGGGAGGGCCAGATATATCAGGTTAAATCAAAATATAAGTGATTTAAGACAGGCTACATCCAGCAATTGGAAACATGGAAAATCCCATACTTGGGTTAAAAAAAGAGAAAGAGAATAGGGGTTTTGGAGATAAGGAGGCTGATTCTGTAGACTGGTTACCTGCTCTTCTTGCTACTCCTCTACTTGGCCCCGTCAGAGACTTTGAACAAATAATACTTATCTCACCAACACCGGGCAGTTTCTGCATAGCCTGAGGACCCGCAGACCACAGTAGACCGCTCTTCAGGGAGCCTGAAGCCTTTAGTTAAATAAACGATGGAGTCCGTTCCATTTGCTGGTGCTAGTTGGACTTCATTTAATGGCTTTTGATGGCCTGTTACTTTGTACAGGGGTTTTGAAAACTGCCATTGTGGCTTTCCAAGTGATGGAAGAGAACATTTTCCATTACACTAAAATTCAAGAAAGACAGCCTGATTCGGACCCTTTTTGAGTTATCCTCACTGTTACTGTGAGCACCATTACTATTCCTGTCATTTCTGTCTGTTACCTGAACTGCCATGTTATCAAATCATTTTGTCAAGTTGACTTTTCCTCCCATTTCACTATTATTCTCAACAGTGTTATCATAGCTCTTATGTGCTGCATGTATTTTTTTCTGATCCACGTTGATGCGAGCTTAAGATAACGTTCCTCCCTATATCACCAAGAGTTAGGGTGGATGTACCACTTTTGTTTAACTAGGTCTTGTCAGCAACTTCCCCTAGACTTGAAGTGAGCTTTTTAGAGCAGTTCAGTTCCCTCAGGTGAAATGCTTGGGACTGGAAGTGTTTTGGATTTTGGATTTTTTAAAAAAACCTTGGAGTATTTATAGAATACATACCAATTGAGCATTCCTAATCCGAAAATCCAAAATGCTCCAGTGAACATTTCCTTTGAGTGTTATGCTGGTGCTCACAAAGTTTTAGATTTTCAGATTAGGAATGCTCAACCTGTATTTAGAATTCTTTCACCTGTCCCTGTTTAACTGCACTCCTGGGGCTGGGGACCTTCTTCTGGTCTCCCAGGGTGTCCTGTACCCCTCAGCTCCTGTAGGTGGCCTGTCATCTCTGCAGCTTGGTGATGCTGTGTGTCTTCTTGCCTGGACTGTGTCGTCTAGGTTGTTCCAGCCTGTGCAATATGGCCAGAAGCCTGAGGGTCGCACCGTGGTCTTCCCCAGCACACACCCGTCCCGGACAGCGGCCTCCACCACAGCCACTGCTGCTCCACAGGGCCAGGTGCGAGGACGGCCACCAATTGCCACATTCTCTGCAAACCCAGATGCAAAAGGTATACTTCGTGTGGTCATCTACTCTCAGTATTACAGAAGGTTTTTGTGGAGTAAGTTATTGCCCCTTTGAACGTCATAATCATTCCAGTGGATGGAATAGGAACCGTCCACTGGCTCTCTGAAGATGCCGTGTATAGTTCTCAGTGAGTTTTAGACTTTTAAATCTCTTGTAATGGATTTTCTTCCTTAAACAAGAAATTTTCCTCTTAGTGGAGTAATTGTTGGTCTGATGATGATGTGCGCTTTGGCAGAACAGTTTCCTTTATGTGAGTGCATGTGTGTGAGAACCACTCAGAAAGCTTCTGAGAAAGGCTGTTCTTGTTCTTTTTTTGTGCCATCATCTCAACTGGTGATTGCTTTGAGGATGGACAGGGTTAAATGGCAGAAAAGGTAATAAAATAGTATTATAACCTACAGTCAAAGGAGTTCTTAGTATTATGTTCATTGTGTTTTTCTGAGACATAAATAAATGTTTAGAGCTGCATTGTTGCAAGAGTTCTTTGTAAAGATAAGAATGGAGACTCTGCGTATGCGTTTTTGTGTGTTTAGGAAAAAGTTTCCGATTGATATTAATGTTTGATTGGGCTGACTTCTAATACTTTCCTGTTTACTGTGTGAGAAATGTACTGTGTAGTGTACTGATTAGCTCAAAGTGAAAATAATTAACAACAGATATAAAATTATATTTCTCTAACCCTATAGGCCATATTGGCCCCCCCCTTTTTTTTTTTAAAAGAGAGGGCTTCTTATTTGAGAGATAGTGTGAAATAATGTTTATTTTATTTCTTTAAAATTCGGGTTTAAAATATTGCATTTTATTAAGAACCTCTAACAGCTTTGCACAAACAAACCTTATCGATTGCAGCGGCAGCAGCCCTGTTTCAGACCTCTCAGGCTTCCACCAGTGCTCCACGACACCAGCCTGCCTCGACCTTCAGCACCGCAGCTAGCCCAGCCCATCCTGCGAAGCTGCGGGCTCAGACCACTGTGCAGGCCTCCATCCCAGGCCAGCCCCCGCCCCAGCCCCAGGCCCCCTCGCACGCGGCCGGGCAGAGCGCGCTGCCTCAGAGGCTGGTGCTCACCTCGCAGGCCCAGGCCCGCTTGCCCAGTAAGTGGCCTCGCCTCTCTGGATTCTGCCATCTCTTTACCCCAGAGGAGTTATGTTAAGAACACGGGGATATAGGAAGAGCCTTTACTGTCAACTTCCTTTGTCTTTCCCCTAATCCCACACCCTAGTGCTGCCTTTAGCCAGTGCTGCCATTCCTGGCCCTGAAGTGTACAGCAGGGAGGGCCTCTGTGGAGATCAGTGCCAGGCCTTCCTCTCCTTCCCACTGTCCTCTCTCCTCGTTCCTTCCATCCACTCTGCTCTTCTGCTGCCTTCGCTGCACAGCTCTGGTGGGCTGTTTGTAGCCCCTCTCTTTACTGTTAGCCAAGCTGGTGGTCCGTCACCACATGGGTCAGCTCTCGGGGAGCAAGTGCCAATAAAATGACAGTGAATGCTTTAGAAAGTGACTCCCTTACCAGCTCTGTGAATTAGCTTTAGGTTTCTAAAAACCATTAGGTCTTTTTAGTCTCTCATTTATTACCATATTTAAACCTAGAATGGATAATTGCTCATCCAAGACATTTTGTAATAATTTAGTGACGAAAAACATCACAACATTTTTTTCCTTAATATAGACCTTTTTACTGTGGCCAGTGGGGTTAGTGTGTTTTCAAATCTTACATATAACCTTATTCTGTTGTTGAAATTATCCTAATTTAAAGTATTGTGGGTTATGCCGTTTTTCAGATGCCACCGTAAGTACTTTATTTGTTAGTATAACAAAATTGTGTCGAGGCCTTTCTGGAAGGAGGGAAAAGGGGGAAGAGATGGTGTGAGGAGACAGAGTTCAAACTAATTTTCTCTCATCGTGAGTCTCTCTCTTCCATTGCCAACAAATAAAGAGTAATTGTCCTGGTTAATTGCCCTGAGGGAGAAAGCACTTGCCTAGTTTGCCCTTGTCTAGGCTGGACACAGTCTTGCGTGCTGCGCTCAGGGGAGTCTACAGCATGAGCAGAGGGCTTTTCACGTTGGTTGATCTTCACTTGTGGATGGGCCAAGAAGGACTCATGGGAGATTTCTATTTACAAATCTCTGTGTCTCCTCTTTTCATTTTCCCCTCCTTGTTCATGGTTATTCTGTGGGCAATATATCTTTAGATATGTTTCTAGTCTTCTACTAACTATTCTCTTATAGTATCACTAATAATTCTGGCATGGATTTTCTTGGGATGAGCATTTAGACTCGAATATCAGCCATTGGGTAAAGCACCTTTAAGCCTGTTGTCCAATTATAGCCTGAAGGTAGCACATTTTTGAGTCAGGGGCATATGATTACATCTGAGTTATGTTTAAAAAAAAAATCTTTTAATAAAGCACCTTTAAGCCTGTTGTCCAATTATAGCCTGAAGGTAGCACATTTTTGAGTCAGGGCATATGATTACATCTGAGTTATGTTTAAAAAAAAAATCTTTTAAGCAATGTTAAATTTCACATTTTTTTCATGGTAAATGTTATAGATGGAATCCTATTATCTAATTCAAATTAGTGTGAAACTTTATATCTTAAAGCCTTGTTTATTTATGTGATTTATTCATGTATTTAAATACATTTCCAGATTTTGAAAAATGTTGGGTGGAATTGGAGCCAGTTATTTATTCTTCTGTATCTGTAGTGATATCTTATTTACCTCTGAGCTAAATTGAACATGTACTTTTTTAAATTTTGGAAGTTTTCTGAAGTTAAGAGGTTGATATGTGAGTTTCCAAGTGTATTACAAATAGATTTTTTCTATTTTTGATGTTTGCTGCTTTTACATTATTTGGGGAGAAAAGTAAAATGCTCTTTAATAATTTCGGTAATAATATTAATATCAGATATCTAAAATCCCTATCAGTTATAGTTAAATAAGTTAACCATTGAAATCTGATATTTTAATTGTCTTATCATCTTTTGTGTTAAAATAACTATTTTCTTAAAGTGGTAGAAAGCAATATTTAATAAATATTCCTGTGACACTTCAGTTAGACGGTCATTATATACAACAAATGATCTTCAGTATAACAATTCCAAACTTTCCCCAAATGGTGTAAATTTACCTTTTCCTCTGCATTTCAACAGGTGGAGAGGTAGTAAAAATTGCTCAGTTGGCGTCCATTGCGGGACCACAGAGTCGAGTTGCTCAGCCCGAGGCACCTGTGACACTGCAGTTCCAGGGGAACAAGTTCACCTTGTCACACAGCCAGCTCCGGCAGCTCACGGCGGGCCAGCCCCTGCAGCTGCAAGGTAAGGGATAACTAACTGACCGACAGAAGAAGCACTTTACCATTGGCATGGGCTGTGGACCTGTCATGGCAGCGGGGTGACTGGGCAAGTTATGTGGCCTTTTCAAGCTTCAGGTTCTTCACCTGTAAGTGACGTTAATGAGTCTCACCTCATAGGGGTTTAAGAGGATCAGTGAGATAACATTTGTAACACACCTGGTTGCCTACTACTTGATATATGCTAAGTAAATGATAGTCATTTTCATTAATAGTGTCTGCCTTTTGAAAAGTTTGTTTTATAAATCAAAATAGAAATATTTGCTGCTTCGTAATGTATGTGTGAGACAAATTGTCCTAAAAACACCAAAGAATTAGCAATTTATATAAGAGGAATTATTTTCTTTTATATACAGATTTTTAAATTTAATTTATTTCTTTTAGGTGGCTGGCCTGTAGAGGGATCCCAACCCTTGACCCCACTCTGGCCAACTGAGCTAACCAGCCAGCTGACTTTTAAATTTTAACACCCAGACCAAAACCTCCCAGACCATTGGCTAGAAGCAATATATTTATCTAGTAACTGCTTTTAAAAAAATGAGGGAATGAAATTTGAGTAGCTCCTTGGTTAATCTTAAAGGACTACATGGCAACACTTCAGTCACTTCAGTTTCTCTCAGCAATGGATAACTTGCTTCTCATATTTTAGATTATAATTCAGAAGTAGTATCCATAGCAGCTTCAGAGCCATCTTTCCCAAGCAGTTTTGCCATGAGGTGCTGCCAAGGTGGTTGTCGGGGTGAGAGGTTCTGTTGTCAGCTGGGGAGAAGCACATACATCTTAGCAGAGTAAGGCCTTGAGAGGCCTGCAGCAGAGAAGCCATTTAATTTGGTTTAATTCATATTTCTCTAATTTTGGGGCAGCAAGGGCAGGGCCTTCCATTAACATCTCCAGAGGTCACTAATTTTCATAGAGCACAGCTTGGGAAACATTCCTCCAGAGTGAGAGAAGTTAGAAAGGTTCAGTCACAAAAGATTGAAAGTAGCAGACTCCTTAAAAAGCAGCAATAAAGCCACAGGCATCTGGGCTAAAAATGGTTTTCTTCATCCTACCTGACAGCAGTTGGAAGGTGCCCATGTGGTGATCTGGGAGCTGGGATGTCTCCTGTGACTGGCACAGCGCGACTGCCTTTAGCAGACGCTTGTTATGGTGACTTAAATGAGCAACTGAGTGGCAGAGATCAGCTTTTTCTTGAGATGAGGCAAAGTATACATTGTTCCTTAGATGTTTCATTCATTGCGGGTAAAATATTTCCATTGTTCTTAAAGTAGCTGGAACTTTGCATTGATTCGTTTGCATAAAATTGACTTTTGGTTTTCAGTTTATTGACCTATTTATTTTTGTACCATTTGGAAGTGACTATAGCATGTGGCTGTGACACACACATGCCCGTGACTGATGCACCTGGCGGACATGTGATTGCAGGCAGCGTTCTCCAGATCGTGTCTGCCCCTGGGCAGCCCTACCTGCGAACCCCCGGCCCCATGGTGATGCAGACTGTGTCTCAGGCGGGAGCTGTGCATGGCGCCCTGGGAAGCAAGCCCCCAACTGGTGGCCCCAGCCCCGCACCCTTGACCCCACAAGGTAGGGTGCTCTGAGAGGGAGTGAGATGTGGCTTGGAAGCTTCTTTCCACCTTTCTTTTCCATCTAAGACTATTGGAAGGCATTAGTGTCTCTCTGATTGTGATACATCAGAACATCAAAGTCTGGCTGGGACTGTCTGGCTTCCACAGATGTGTCCTGGTGTCAGCTTGATTTGTTTTCTGTCTCTTACTTTCAAAGGTACTGGTTGAATACAACCAGCCTCACTATCCTTAGATTTTTGTTATGATTTTGCCCTAACAAGGGATTTTTGAATCATGAGAAATTTTGCTTGTTAGTATGTCACAAATGCATTTAGTGAACATGCTTAGAGGTTTTCTGGAACATGGTGCATATAACTGCACTTGAAAGATTTGGGCCCTTCTCTATCAGCCCTGGAGCTGCTTGTGCCCAGCTCCTTGTCCCGTTGCTTGCTTCACCTTGAAGCCCTTGCTGTCCTCCTGCCTTGGTCTCAGCTCTCCCTGGACACGCTCAGTCGTGGTGTGTGTGGTGCATCCTTAGGAATGCACAGACCTGTGGAGGCCTCAGGGAGCCCGGCAAGGCAAGGCACACCTCTCCTTGGGACCTGAGGCCCTTGGCCCCGTGTGCTGAGTATTACTCAGTTTTACTCATTTCTAGTCCCACCTGTGCGTTATCATGGTGATGCTGGTGTACGGATTCTGCAACCCATGTTAATCTCTGCCACGGTGTGCGAGAGGAGGCTACACAGCTGGAGTGGGGAAGGGTACATGGTTTGTCTCCAGTTCCTGTCAGCGTTGCCCAGCAACAGTCTGTACAACAGCTGCGGTATTTGGTTCCACTTGCCAGGTTTCCCCCACGCTTCCTGAATCAGCTTACCTTGCCCTCTAGGGAATGCCGGAACCAGCTGCTGCACCCAGCCTGAGAGGTCAATAAGTCCAGCTCTGTGGAGCTCCTTCTTTGAGCTCTGGAGGCACCAGATGGCACCCCGAACCCCAGCCTCGGGCCCCCCAGCTGCTAGGTTCTCATAACCCCACCCCTTCCCTGTGTTCTCCTAAGGTGACTGTCTTACCCTAAGGTCCCTCATCAGTCCTCAGATTCCTCTCTGACCAGTTCCCTGTATGAAAGTCTTTGTCACTTTAAGTGGCATGGCTTCTGTCTTTCTGACCGACCCTGGCTGATTGAGGGCATGGTGTCAAGAGCAGTCCTGGGGTGATTCTGTCATGATCTTCAGGGCTGCATGGGCAGCAGAGGCAGCGCAGTCCTCAGGTGATCTCCTGGGGTTGGCTGTGATAATGTGCCCAGGGCCATGTGGTGGCTGCATTGGACTGTTATGGTCATGAGGTTGACTATAGGTCTGAGGTGTGCTGCAGACACTTCTGAGCATGCTGCAGTTCTTATGAAAGGAAGATGACGAGCCCTGGGCTCCACACTCAGCTCAGATCGTGGCCAGAGAAGCAGAGTGCTTCACAGGCAGTTCTAAATAATTTAAGTTTGAATTATACACATTACAGGAATGTGCTAGTGAAGGCTGAGGTTTCTGTAGTGTGCTAATAGCAGACTAAGTCCTGTGGACTTGGCTTTCCTTTTCAGCTCTTCATTTTTGCATTTGTAGTAGGTGTTCCTGGTCGGGTAGTGGTCAATGCCATGGCTACAGGAGAACCTGGAGTGGGCTGCAAACCGGCCTCTCCCACTTCAGGACCAACCCAGGTAAGACATGTGTTGAAGATGTGTATTTCCAGATTGTTGACCCCTTTACAGTTGGACAAGTTATTTTTCAGAAGCTGCTTATTCCTGTATAGTTGTGGTATTTAAAGGCTCCTGTGAATCCTTGTTGTATGACTGCAGAAACAGATTTTCTCTCTAAGTTGTAGGATTTTGATTTTAAAACACTTTTCTTAATAAAAGAAATGAAACTGGGCTTTATGATTGCAAAATCTTCTTTCACGTTTTCATATTCTTCTACCAGTCTTCATAGGCACTATAGAAATGCTTACTGTGTCTTGAGAAATGCTTCTCATGTTGGCGAGGGAAAGAACAGAGGCTTGCTTTCTTGGCTTCATTTCTGTCACTGTTTCCTACAGAACAGGGACCATGGGTGTTGAAGTGTGCTCTGTACCCATGGATCCCACAGTGTTTGGTGAAGAGATAACTTGTCATGTTATTTCTCAAGTGACCATTTTTCATCACTGTTTTGATAAAGGAGGAAAAGACCAGACTTTTGAAAGAGCGGCTGGATCAGATTTATTTCGTCAATGAACGGCGCTGTTCCCAAGCTCCAGTCTATGGCAGAGATTTGTTAGGGATTTGTTCCCTGCCCGGCAGAGAAAGGACCCCATGCTTCAGGTCTTTTGGCAGCAGCCTCAGGCAGGGGACTGGCTCAGTGAGCTGTTACACTTCACCCTCAGAAAGCAAGAGTGATCTGATTCTGACTGTGAGTCAGCGTCATGCATCTCTCCAGGACATTATGGACAGGTCAGTCAGCCTGCTTGTGGGTAGATATTTTAGCTTTTTTTTGTGTTTCCTCAGTTTGTAGCATCCCAACAATTTTTGTTATTGTTTTGTGGACGTTCATCTTATTCCCATAAGCGTCTCCCTGACTTGTCCCTTAGAAATCTGTGTTGAAATCATTTTTCAAGGTCTCCAGCTTTGGAGCCAGATGGTCACATGCTCTGGGTCTGTGTCCATGGGTGGCCTCTGGATGGGTATGGGCAGTCCCACTGCAAGGTTGTAGCACCTGAACTCATGCTGTATCCAGAGAGCAGATCATGTGTTGCCGATGGTTTTCTCCATCCTGCTTTTTCAAAAAAAAACCCCCTGTTTTATTAAAATAACCACATAGGGTTGGCTGGTTAGCTCAGCCAGTTACAATGCAGCCTTGTAACATCAAGGTCAAGGGCTTACTTTCCCATACTACCCAGCCGCCAAAATAAAATAAAATAAAATAACCACATGAAGGAGTGAATGTTGCATGATGAGGAATGTGTGCAGGAGTTGAACTCAGAACAAGCTTTGACAGAGACAAAGTCCCAGATGTCGATGGGGTGCTATGGCCACCGTCAGTCCCTGCTCCTGCTGTGGCTGTGTTTGCTTTCTCCTCAGAGCACTGACCCTGTTTGCAGTTTTGTTCACTGCCTGAGCCTGCCCTCTAGGCTTGGCTCCAGAACGTATTTTCTTCCCTTCTTTATGATGTTTGCATTTCTAATAGTTAGTCCCTGCTTACAAAGGGAAACCTCTTGGCTCCCTGCAGCTTGACTCAGCTTTCAGGATCTACCCATTTCAGGTCATTCAGACCAGGAACAAAATCAATAGAGAAAAACGAAAAGGGGGAGTGTTTTTGTGAGATTGAGACAGCCCACCCCAGCCTCTCCCATCTGTGTGGTTAAGTTGGTGGCCTCTTGTGCCCCTTCCCTTGTTGTTCCTTCAGAGGCTGATCTGTCCTTGCATCATCCTTTCTCAAGGAACATAACAGGCTCACTTCAGCTGGTGTCTCAGGAAGGGCTTTTCTGGGAAGATGCCTGCTGCAGGTTGGGAGGTGGTTGTCCTCCTGTCTGCAGGGTCCCTTTATTCTCCATATAGCCCCCTTCCTGGTAGTACAGTGGCTGTAGCAGTTCTAGGGTTCACGTCTAGGAGCTCGGGCCTCTGTCCCAAAATTCTTGCAGAAGACATGAGCTTTAAGTGCAATGGGCCACCTTCGAGCCATTCCTGTGGTCTGGGGAATGCCCCACGCTGATTGCTTAGACCCGGGCTGTCTGAGTTGGTCACTGGGATGGCCGCCATTGGCCAGGACTAGTTAGGATCTGCCCCATGGGGTCTCCCCGACCTGTGGTTGCGTGAAGGATGATGTGTGCCGACAGTCGTGTCTCCCCATGGTGATGAGAGCCAGATGCCCTTGCTGCCCCTCTGGGGACTCAGTTATCAGGGGGTTCTGCCTTTGTCCTTTTGGAGACCCCACCACCTGGCAGAGGTGCTGTGGTACCACCTGGTGACAGAGCATGCTTTCTGCTCCTCAGGGTGGCCTGTGTGATTCCTTCTGTGGTGGCAGCACCTCCGTTGCTGTGGGTGGCAAGGCCACCCTCCCTGTACAGTCAGAGGATGAGGGTGTTCAGGCAGTGCCTGAGGGAGCACACTGCTCCCTACTGCCAGCAGCTGCGGCAGCTGACTGCTCTGCGTTCTCTACAGTTTCCGGAGCTCAGGCTGGTGCAGTTCGATTCAGGTATGAGGGGAGCTCTATGGCACCGTTTATCCTGGGGGGCTTATCTACTTTGGATGATGAGATGCTCTTGGTGTTATTCCTTTCCTAGGAAAGTTAGAAGCTTTAGCTATCTTACTGCAGAAGCTGAAATCTGAAGGACGTCGGGTGCTGATCTTATCACAGATGGTTCTTATGTTAGACATTTTAGAAATGTTCTTGAACTTCCATTATCTCACCTATGTAAGGATTGATGAAAATGCCAACAGTGAACAGCGGCAGGTAAGAAGTAGTTTACCTTGTTATAATTTACAATTCAGTCGCGTTAACTTTAATCACCAGTTTTTAAACCTGATTTCTAAGTGTTGTGGAAATTCACTGATATCATGAGCCTTCTAAACAAAAGGGGAAGAACTTTTTCGTGTATTTGAGTAAGTCTTTACTCCATCCTTTGATAGTTTTAATCATTAGCCATGTGGTGAATGCACAGTCAGCTGGATATCTCAGGATACAAATTGGTGACCTGCAATCATTGTAAGACAATATTGATATACTTTAGAAGGCAGCTGTGGGGTAAAAACATGAAAACTGTTGGGATAAACTTATAATTAAAGAAATGCAAGTTAAAATATATGCTCAATTTTTACTTATTGAACTTGCTTGGGGTGTTTTGTTTCCATCAGGCACAGTGAAATGCACTCTCATACACTGAGGCTGGAGCCATAAATTAGTACCACTTTCCTGATGGCAGCTTGATGCTGTGGATTGTGGACCTTAAAAATGGAAATACATTTGACCTACAATTCTGTATCTAAGACTCTTTGCTTACACACAAGAATAACATGCTACTGAAAGATATATATATACACAGCAGTTCATTGTAGAAATGCTTATGATAATCCGCAATCAGGAACAAAATAAATGTTGAGTAGTAGAAGAATGAATAAATAAAGAATTGTTGTGGGACATATGACTTGGCAGTATCATAGCAAAAACTATTTCCTGGTACCCCCACATGATGGGCTAAGAAGTCCTTGTCAGCAACATTTTAGAACAGGTTTTAGTGGCATGGCAAAAAATCTGTCCAAGTACAAAAAGCAAGATGCTGAACTGTAGATCATATTACCCACAGCGTGTTCTACAGCGTATGCAGGATTTTCAAACACATGCACACGCACACACATACACCAGGGTGTTAATTAACAAATTTTCTTGGTAACTGTAAGAAATTATATATAGAGTTTTTTGAAGGAAGAGAGTTGGTCAACTCGCAGGTTCTGTGTTGGCACAGAGATAATTATAGAAGAGAATTATTCAAATCAAGTCATTTTAATTGATGGTCCTAAGTGAGGTCAGGTCTTTTCATTGCTTCATGTTCCCTACTTCCTCAGCCTTACTCCAGGGGCTTTTTTGCCTGTAAAGTGCCCTGGCATTGCCTGAGGATAGATGAGAAAGCTCACCTCCCTCCCCAGCAAGACTCTGTGTTCTTTTGGGGCCTACAAATTGAGCTGACAGTAAATATAAGATGGGATCTAACATTTGCTTTTTGTAACCAATGACAGTGTTATTTAAACAGTGTGCAGAGATGTGTGTGATCAGTGGGTGAGAGATGGTACATTTGCATGGAAAAGGCAGAGGAAAATGCTAAAACTCTGGTGTAACTTTAACACGGATTGCACATCAGTTGGAACACAAATTAGACAGTTGTTACAGAACAATTTCTAAATGAAGAATATTAGAAAGTGTCAAAGGTTTCCTAGCATTTTTCAGAAATACTAACTTGAGTGTTTTGCTTTATCTTAGGAGCTGATGAGGAGTTTCAACAGAGACAGGCGGATTTTTTGTGCCATTCTCTCTACTCACAGCCGTGCCACAGGTATCAGTCTCGTGGAGGCAGACACTGTCGTGTTCTATGACAATGATCTGAATCCGGTGATGGATGCCAAGGCCCAGGAGTGGTGTGACCGAATCGGGAGATGCAAGGACATCCATGTGTACAGGTGATGCCTGCGGTGGGATGTGTGCAAAGGTGCATGTCGTGAGCAGCTTGGTGGAAGGTGTTGGTATAGAAGGCATGGGTGCAGAAGTAAGAGGGAGAACTAGAGATAGTATGCTGCAGCTCAGTTTTAGAAGTTTCTGCTACATTTTGTTTATTTTCCCATCAGAGAAATTGATATGCCTGCTGTGTTATCTGTACTTTATACTTAACATTTGCTTGAAGTTTTAAGTTACTTATGCTGCTCAGGTGTGTTACGTTGTTGTCATCTCAGTATTTACATGTTGAACCTCTTCTAGAGTACCTTGACCTGAAAAGGATGATTTATATTCTGGGCTGTTTCAAGGAAAATGTCCATTGAAATAATTTAAATCTGTTATTGTTTATACCCTGTGTGCACTGAGCACGGTCATGTTCTGATGCATGTGATCCTGCCACTTCTGTGAGATGTTGGTAGAGCCATCCATTCACAGGTGGAGACCTGAGGCTGAGATATGTGTGTTCACTGGGGTGAGGTCTCAGGGAGTGGCCGACCTGGAACTGACACCCCGATCTGTGTTCTTAACCACTTGTTGTTCAGCAAGATGGTTGATGCCATGGTAATACAGACGCTGTATTTAAACAGCTTTGTTAATATTTTTCTGATTATACATGTGTTACATGTTCGTTGAAGGAAAAAAGAAAAGCATGCAAAGAAAAGTAGGGAACCTGCAGAGATAGCAATTATTAACATTTTGATGTATACTTTTCCAGGCATTTTTCTGATTCTTTTAGAAGGCTGGTACTATGTCAGTCTTATTTTGTAATCCCTTTTTCTTTTAACAGTATATTTTGAATGTATTTCCATGCTAACAAGCATAATTTGGTACATCTTTTATATTGAATGAATGTTTCATTGTGTAATGCTTTCCTTATTGTTGGCCCTTTAGCAATTATTAGCTAAAAATGGGAAAATATTTTTTTCTCAATAGCCACAAAATCTCTAAAATACTTAAACATGCCCTTAGCATGGACGCATACAAATTAAGTATAATACTGTGTTGACGGACGTAGATGAGATGTGGTAAATGGAAACACACATTGTGTTAATAAAAACGTGAAGTTTTCCCCCAAGGTAATATTAATAAAATTTAACATTTTAATGAAAATCCTAATTGTAGGTTTTAGTGTATGTGTGTGTGCACATATACACACAATATGATGAAATAATTTTCTTTCCTTTTTTTTAAAAAAGATTACTGGTAAGGGTATCTTAACTGTTGACTTGGTGTTGTCACCACCACGCTCTCCCAAGTTAACCGGCCATCCCTATATAGGGATCCAAACCTGTGGCTTCGGTGTTATGAACACCACACTCTCCCAAATGAGCCACAGGCTGGCCCCTAAGGTGAAATAATTTTCAAGTGTAGTTGGAGTGGAAAAGAACTGATGATGGTCACAACAGATGATGAACAGGGTTTTGGGAGGGAGCCATGCCCTTTGTGTAGCAGGACAGAACACAGGCTTCTCTATGTGGACCTTCCCGTGAACCCCCTGGTCTGTAGCTAAGCGCTGTTGGCATCGGAGTGTGTGGACAGTTCGGGGGATGGAGAGCCCAGCAGCAGTGGGGACTAAGTGTGTTGTGAAGGTTGAGTTGCACTGTGGCTGGAGGTGGTTCGTGTGATGGATGCTGTTGTGCACTTTGTTGTTTGTGAGTGCGAATGGGGCTGCAGCACTGCTTCCCACGTACGAGTGTAACACAGTATAGATGGATCGAAGATTTAAATGTAAAAAGTAAAGCAGCAATCTTAGAGCAGTCTTTTTTTTTTTGTCTTTTGTCTTTTTCCGTGTCCGGCAACGGATCGCAACCCTCAGTGTTGCCCCCGTACCGGACCGGGGACCGGCAACGGGATCGCAACCCTCGGTGTTGCTCCCGTGCCTCGCTCAGCCAGTGAGCGGGAACCGGTCTGTATGTGGGATCCGAACCCTCGGTCAGGAGCGCCGCCGCGCTTCCCAAGCGGCGCACTTATCCAGTGCGCACCGGGCCGGCCCCCTTAGAGCAGTCTTTGAGAGACTGTCCAGAGCTTGAAGGGATCACTTTAACCAAACAGAAAACTCAGCAGTAAGGAGGGATAGCTGTATTTGACTATAGTAAAGTAAAAATTTAAGTATAGCCAAAAGAGGCTATGAGCAAAGTAAGTAGGTAAATAATAGATTGGAATAATTATTCGCAATTCTCATAGATAAAGGGTTAAATAGCTCTTGCAAATTGAGAAGAAAGATCAAAGACCCCCTTTTTTTAAAAGGGGAGGGAGGGGAGGAAACCTGTGAATGTGAATAGTCTATTCCAAGTGGCCAAAAAGCACGAGATCCTCCAGCCCGCTGGTAGAAGGATGTACAAGTTTAATGCATGATGAAACGTCTCTTCGTACATAACAGATAGGTCACATAGTAAAGGGAACCGTGCCTGCTGATGGGGGCCAGTGAATGGGAACTTCCACACATTAATGGGGGGTGGGGATTGTTTCAGCCTTTTTGAAAGTAATTTGGCAAGGTCTGTTGAAATTGAAATGACACAGCCCTTTGCCCTCAGCGTAACTGTGCCACACAGAGTCTGTCCCATGTTGTAAGGGTGTTCAGTGCAGCTTCGTCCACATGGCACAAAGCAGGAACCAGGGAATGTCTGCCACCAGGGTACCGCCAAACCACAGGTGGGGAGCAGCGAGTAGGAAAACGAATTTAGGTAGGGGTTTCTGTAATACAGTGTTCAGTGAGGAAAGCCAGGTGCAGATGAGTATATAGGGAGGCAGGTAACGCCCCACACTATTGTGCGTGAAAGCAATTACAAACAAACATGGGGATGTTGTGGAGGTATGCACACCAGGCTGCTGATATGGACTTGTGCTAGCTGGGGAGATGGGACAGACGAGGCAAGCCGTCCCCCTCCCTGAAATAGCAATGAAAGTATGTGTGCTGGAGAAAAGACACCCACTTAATGTCTGCTGTCACACAGGTGAAGTGGCATCTTTTTGTCATGTATATGTGAACTAAGGTGGATAGAAACACCATCACATTTCAGTGGTTATCTTAAGGTGATCAGAATCCAGGTGACTTTTTTTTTCTTCCTTATAGTTTTATATCATCAAATTATTTACAATGAGCATGTAGTAATATACTCAAGGAAAGACTTCCTGGGGTTGTTACACATTTGTTGGCTGTCCATCCTTTCTTTATTATGCTGTCATTTCACTTTATTATGTATTTAAGTTCTTTTTATCCAGCTGGGCTCATTACTTTCTATTCTGTTCCCCTTGATTGTCTATTTCTACATTGTGGTGTGCTGCATTTATGTGAAAATCTTGCAGTTAAAAGTGTTCAATTTGAGCTTTCTTGGGCATTAGCATTTAGCATTATGTAAGCAGATGCACATCGAGGGAAGGCACTAGACTGGATGGGGCCTGTTTTTGCCCCTGAGATGTGGTCTTATGGAAGTCACACGCCTTTGCACCTCACTTCTGCTGTCTGTCAAATGAGGTCACACCCACAGTTCACAGTCTTAACCCAGCACCCACTGTGGGCCTGGCAGTGTACAGGGGGTAAAAAGAAGAAAATGTCTATGATTACGTGAGAACAAGATGCCCCACAAGCATCTCAGCAAGCAGCAGTCAGTGGAGCATCAGCTGGGTCGTCAGAGGCAGGGAAGGTGTCAAAGACAGCTAGAGAGGTAGAGGGGTCAGGAAGGACTGAGTGGGAAAAAAACGGGGTGGCAGACAGAAGTGTGAGGTGGGGACACTGCGGGGGCTGTGGGCTGCCTGCTGTGGTTTCTGGGAGGTGGCGGCAGTGTAGGGAAAGGGGGAGGGCGGGAGGTTGGCTGACAGAGGGTGTGAGCAGGTGCCCGGCCTGAGCAGGGAGTAGGTACATTTGGCCATCATTATCGCCTGCCTGTGCCCTGGTTTGTATCTTCGCTGTGTTTCCAGATGACTTCATTGTCATTCTGCATGTGTGTCTGTGTTTTGTTTGTAGGTTGGTGAGTGGCAATTCTATCGAAGAGAAATTGTTGAAAAATGGAACTAAAGATTTGATCCGAGAAGTAGCTGCTCAGGGAAATGACTACTCCATGGCGTTCTTAACTCAGGTACTGCTTATCTGTTGAGGACACTCGGGAGGCACGCCATACTGGGAACAGAATCGTGTTGTTTTAATATACATGTATAAGAAGTGATCGCCTGACCTTGGTGCTTAGGTCTCAAGTTCAGGTCAGGCATACAATTGTATCTTTGTTAGTGAAGAATAATATGCATTTTTGTGTTCAGCGAACTATCCAGGAGCTGTTTGAGGTTTATTCTCCCATGGATGATGCTGGTTTCCCAGTAAAAGCTGAGGAGTTCGTAGTTCTTTCTCAGGAACCTTCTGTCATGGAAACCATTGCACCCAAAATTGCAAGACCTTTCATAGAGGTAAGAATAAATCTAGTCTATCCCCAATACCCTGTTTTTGTCCTGACCTTTTAAACTCTCCCGTGCAACTGTGCTCACTCTCCCTGAGCCTGTGGCTATCCGGTCTTAACTTCTTCCCTGGCCTGTTAGTCCCCTCTTCCTCCTGTCCCCTATAGCCTCCTTCCTTCCTTCTTTCTATCATGGGGATTTTCAACTCTTAAAAAATGTAAAGGGGATTGTAGAGAAAAGAGCGGGCCTCATGCCCATGCTACCCAGTTCAATGGTTGTCACCGTGATCATTAGCTCTTTCCCCTCCAGCCTGAGCTGCCTGCACCCTCCCGCAGATGTCTGACTGTGGCCTGCTCCTTGCAGCTCTGTCCCCACCCCTGTGGCTGCTGAGCCCTAAGAATGTGGCTAGCCTGCATTGTGGTGTGCTATATCAAACACACCACTGATTTTGGAGACTTAGTCCAAAAAAAATAATACAAAAAACCTCATTAGTACTTTTCTGTGTTGATTACATGGTGATGTGAGGATATTTTGGATATTGGGTTACATAAAATAAGATTTTAGGTGCGGATGTGGGTTGTGTGATATCCCTGTGGTATGGTGCTGCTCTATGGACACGTTGCAGGCTCACTACCTTGCCGCTTCTCTCATTTCCTCCCCGTTCTGCCTGGCTCCCTGCAAGCCTCTTACACACTTGCAGGAGGGGCCTTCCCATCCTTGTGGGGTGGAGGGCCCCAGCTGCAGGGCTGCAGCCTTATCTTTCCTTCACTTTCTGAATTCCTTTCTCTGTCCTGTGGTCCAGTGTCGAGGGAAGGGGTTTCCTTCTTCTCCAGACCTTGGTTTTTGGAGCCTGTGTCTGTGCCTCTTACCTTGGAAGGGCTTGGTGTCCCTGTGCCTCTGTTACCCCTCTGTGTTTGGTTGCAGGGTTTGCCTGTGTTGGCATCTCTACTTGCTTTACTTTTCTGTGTAAGCTGTAAGGAGCAGACCGCAGGCCAGAACCTGGCTTTCCATCAGGTGGCCTGTTCTCTGGGTTGGTGGCTGCTGCCTTGCTTGTTCTCGTGGACTCTTCAGCTGACTAGCTGCTGCTTCTTCCCTTTCTGAAAGTGAACTATTCAGTTATTGAAAAAGTACTAAATGTGTGAGGAGGGTCCAGCCTCTGAGAATGTGTAATGAAAAGCCAATCTGCCACACTGGATCCTTGCTTCCCCACTCAGAGACAGTGCTGACAGCACTTTCTCCTGTTGCTTTCCAGAAGTTTCTGTGTCTAATTTCCCTTGCACAGCAATATCTTACAGATTGTTCTATATCAGGAGGAGTAGATCTACCTCATTGTGTTTAAAAAGTAGGTAATATGTGCCTGAGGTTGAAAAAGAAATTCAGACAACACAAAAGGATAGAAGGGAAGTTATCCAAGAGGTGACCATTTAGTCATTGTTGAAATTTCATGTGTCCTTGAAGAAAGATGCAGGGCATGAAGAGTGTGTGCGTGCATGCACACTAGTACACACAACGTGAGCTTGTTATACACACTTGCTGCTTTTTCATAACAATGCATCTTGGACATTTTTCCATATTTGCTCTGCTGTTTCAAAGCTGCATAGGATTTCACCATACAGACTCTTTTGAAACATTTATTGAATGTCATACTGTGTGTCAGGCACTGTTCTAGGCAGTTGGGGGCATAGCATTGGAAAAAAGACAAAAACTTCACCTTTTATGAGGCTTATATTCTCGTAAGAAGAGAGACAACAGCAAACAAGTAGATGAAGTGTATGATTTACTCACTTGAGAAGCTGATGTGGAGGCAGGGTGCAGCCGACGATGTCCAGGGGAGAATGTCATAGGTACAGGGCCAGAGTGGGCTAAGGTCACTACAGCAGAGAAGTCAGTGTGGCTGAGGGGACCAGGGGCCAGGTGAGGGGTGGTGGTGAGGGAGGGAAGGCCCAATCATGGAAGGAGCTGCTGGGAGGATTTGAGTCGAGCTGCAGCATGGTCTGAGGTTACTTATAACAGTCATTCTGGCTCTTGTGTTGAGACTAGATTATAGCAGGGCATGGTTAAGATGCCAAAAGCAGCAGTAATGTAAGTGAGTGAGGGTATGGGGGTGGCAGATGGGAGCAGTGGGGGCCTTGGGAAGGCAGGGTCAGTAGGACTCGTTGCTGTGGGTGTGGGAGAAGAGAGGTTGCTCCTCGCTGGCCTGACCAGCCCCTGTGAGTGGAGAATTGAATTAGTGTTGGTCTTTTGCTGTTATGGACAGTTCTTTTGTAAAGTTTTAGAAGGCCCAGAAGGTTTCCTGCACTCATTTCATATATACCCTGAGTGCCCTGTTGTTTTCCACACATAAGAGGGCCTCGAGGAATGAATGAATTACTTTCATAGAAGCTCAGTGATTCTTTACAGTGTAGGTGTCTATGTTAACTTTATGCAGGTGGCTCTTTTGCAAAAGTCCTTCAGTTAAAAAGTCTGTCAAAGTAATCTAAGTATGGAATATTTCAGGCTCTCAAGAGTATCGAATATCTGGAGGACGATGCGCAGAAATCCACAGAAGAAGCGGTGCCCAGCTCAAACACTGGTGTTTTGTCATCAGACTTAGACAATTCAAGGTGTAATGAAGAACCGTCACAGTTGGAAGAGCTAGCTGACTTTATGGAACAGGTTTGGGCATTTTCTTTTTCTTTATAACTAAATATTTTAAACATTTGACCTTTTGTAAAATACTTCTTGTTTCAACCAAGAACAATTTTTTAAAATTCTAATCTTGGTGAGAGCTTGTGTAAGGAACTTAACCTTTATTAACTTGCTATTAACCCTATTTAAAAAATATGTATTTTTGATATAGCTTACACCAATTGAAAAATATGCTTTGAATTACCTGGAATTATTCCATACTTCCATTGAACAAGAAAAAGAGAGAAATAGTGAGGTAAGAGAATCAACTTTTGATCAGTTTAACTTGAAGAATCTCATTTTCAGTATTGTTTGATTTGAATTAAAAGTGACTTCATTAAATTAAAGTAATAAAAAATAAAACCTAGCGATATAGAAACTAATAGAAAATGCAGAGAGCTTTGGAAAACCCTATGTAGTCAACTATGAAGCTTATTTTTTACCTTAATGTCTTTTAATTGGATTTGTAGCAGCTTGGTGATTGGTAGAGAGTTATATGTTGTGGTTGGGGGGCGCATCAGAAAATGTGTAGTGTGGGGCACCAGACTCCTGGAGGACAGGGACCAGGGGTTTTTAACTTGTGTTTGGGGGCTGGTGCCTGAGGTGAGAAGACAGTAAGCACAGGAGTTTAAAGGGTGGGAACCGCCCTTTCTGATTTTGAAAGTGTTTCTGATTTTCTGGTAATCTTCCTGTCAGGATGTAGTGATGACTTCCTTGAGAGAGTGGGAATCCCGGAACATGAAGGCCCTGCAGGAACAGGAGGCCTGGCTGCGGCTAGAACAGGATGAGGCAGAGCTTCTCACCTACACGAGAGAGGACGCTTACAGCATGGTATGGGCTGGCCTGGCTGACCCTCCTCCCTCCTACACAAAGGGCCAGTTGTTCAGCTGTGTTTGATTTGTCTAAAGTCTCTGCACATTTTCATAAGAAAATGCCCTAGAAGTTTTCACTTGTCATATCTAATTTTTTTGGCAGCTGGCCAGTATGGGGATCTGAACCTGTGACTTTAGGGTTATAACACTATACTCTAACCAAGTGAGCTAACCGGCCAGCCCTATGTGTCATATCTAAAAAACCTAATTCATGTTCTAAAAGCATAATTTTCTTAATAATTGACAAGTTGTTAGAGATTTTCAGTTAGATATTGGCTTTTCCTATAAAAACGAATGAAATACTGCCATTTGCAACAACATGGATGGACCTTGAGAGAATTATATTAAGTGAAACGAGTCAGGCAGAGAAAAAGAAATACCACATGTTCTCACTTATTGGTGGGAGCTAAAAATAAATAAATAAATTCACTCACACACACAAAAAATAACCGGGGTGGGGGGGAGATATCACAACTATAATCCTTTGAAGTTGTTACAACAAGCAAATGGAAAGGACATTGTTGGGTGGGAGGGGGGAGAGGGAGGAGGGAGGGAGGTTTCGGTGATGGGCCATAATAATCAACCACATTGTATATTGACAAAATAAAAATTTAAAGGAAAAAAAAAAAAGATATTGGCTTTTCCCTGAATTGTATTGCCAGATGGGATTTTATGTCTTATAATAGTTATATTGATCAGACTTATTTGGAAGACTTCCTAAGTACAGAGGTAAGTAATTTGTGGCTTAGAGCATGAAACTGATAGTTTGTCGAATTTTAAAACTTGCACATGTTCCCTGTAGGAATATGTCTTCGAAGATGCTGATGGTCAGACCGAAGTTATGCCGGTGAGTACCTTCTGCTCATCTTGTGTCTGAGCGAGCTAGCTTCCTGTCAGTTGCACATCTCATGGGACTTTTCCTCTCCATGCAGCTCTGGACCCCGCCCACGCCCCCGCAGGATGACAATGACATCTACATAGACTCAGTTATGTGTCTCCTGTATGAGCCTATGCCCATCCCTGAGGCGAAGTTGCCTCCTGTGTATGTAAGGAAGGAGCGCCGGCGGCACAAAACAGATCCCTCAGGTGTGCATCCATGTGGGCACCATGTAGCCCAAGGTGTCCCTGCGCGTGGTGCAGGGTCAAGATGTCTGCTGCACGGCCGAGTCCATTACTTTATACCACATTCATGGGTTCCGTTTCAGGGAGGAAATCTTCATGTTTATAGTTCCAGTTAACAATAAAAGCAAGAAAATGGTTTCCTCTTTAGCCGATGCTTTCCAAGGCCTCTTTGTTCTTGTGCTTCTTAATTCACCCTTGTTTCCGTTCTTATTTGCCTGGGATGTGAAGCCTCCCAGTTCTGTGTCTTGTTGAAGATGGCCTCTCCGTGCAGTTGCAGGGAGGAAGAAGAAGCAGCGTCATGGGGAGGCGGTCATCCCACCTCGGTCCCTGTTTGACCGGGCGACACCGGGCCTGCTGAAGATGCGCCGTGAGGGCAAGGAGCAGAAAAAGAATCTCCTGCTGAAGCAGCAGGCACAGTTTGCCAAGCCTCTGCCGACGTTTGCCAAGCCAGCAGCGGAGTCTGGGCAAGACCACCCTGAGTGGCTCATCAGCGAGGACTGGGCCTTGCTGCAGGTCAGCGGCACTGCTGGCTCGTGGCATGCGCATTCACATGTGGTTCTTTTTCTTCCCATGTTTATGCATGTTCGTTACTGTGATCACTCTGTGGGGTTTCTGGCAGGAGGGGAGGCCTCTAACTTGTAGCACATTGACCTGTTCTACCTGAAACCTTGTCCTCTAGGCCGTAAAGCAGTTACTCGAGCTGCCTTTGAACCTCACCATTGTGTCACCTGCTCACACGCCAAATTGGGATCTCGTCAGTGATGTCGTTAACTCCTGCAGCCGAATCTACCGCTCTTCCAAACAATGCCGGAATCGCTATGAGAACGTCATCATTCCAAGAGAGGAAGGGAAGGTGAGCTCCGTCTCCTATGTGTTCCCACAGCACTGGCTTGAGCCTGCTATCCCCGGCCATGAATCTGTAGGGAAGCCAGCTTCCCAGGGCTGCTGGAGCTTTCAGTGAGGTTGGGTGTCTGTGCTGAGCCTGGCACGAGACACAGCAATGCTGACAGTCTTCACATGGTTCTTGGCAGGATCGTGCTCAGTGTTAGCAGCAGGCCTCATACCTGGTATTTTATCTGATCCCAACATGTGTGGTGCCACTGTCATTTGGGAAACAGTGTCATTTGAGTAGTTGGTCATATCTTCTTTTTTATTAAGAAAGTTTTGGATGAATAAAAAAGAAGATAAGAACTTTTACTTTGTTGTATTTGTTAGTTTACTTAAAGAAAAGTCTGTTAGTGTTTCCTCTGCTGTTTTGGGGCTGAATCACTGGGTGGCTGCCATGGTCTGACAAGCACGGATACTCAGTTTCAGGGGTGACAAAGTGTGGCAGTGTTTGTTTTACATGTAGCGCAGCCAGATCTCTGGTGTGTCTCGTTTAAGAGGCCAGCTGCGGTTTGTGGCCCAAGCCCAGGAGAGCCCTGCATATGGGCTTGCGCTTGGCTTGCCTCTCCCTCTGGAGCTGAATTTCTCTCTTTCTGCTTCTCTCTGGCTTTCTTCTTGCAGCTTTCTCTGTCTTGCCCCTTGGTGGCTTGTCTCTGCTCAGGACAAGTGTCCTGGGTCTCCACACACAGGGCATTCATGTGCTCTGTCATGTCAGCATTTGCAGATGTCCTGTGTCCTCTCATGGATGCTGTGGCTGGCCACCTCATGGTGGTCCCGCCAGGACAGAAGCTGTGGCCACAGCTTCCTGCATGTACCAGTGTGGGGCAGATTCAGTAGAGGCAGACTTGCAGTCCTTTCATTAAATTTGTTATTTTGCCTCTTATTTGTGAAAATTACGTCCTCTACTATGAGCCAGATCTATCCTCAGGATGAGAGTGTGCCACAACTAATTTATTTCTATAACAACCTTTTGATCATTTCAGTTTTCATTTTTCTAAATACACTTGTTTAAAAACAAAGCTTTTGTTTGCTTTTTTGTTTAAAATAAAAAGCAAGCTTTCCTCATGATACTGTTTTGTAGTGCCTTCATCAGTAAGACTTCCTGAAGTCTTTAGGCTTTTATGTTTGCGAGGCATTTATATTAGTAACCATTACCTTAATATGGAAAAAAGTAAAGCTAAAATTTTTTCTTCTCTTATAGCTGATTTATGAAGCTAATCCAAAGAAAAAGGCAAAAAGTATTTATAAGGTATGATGGTGATGTTCTCAGTAAGTTGGAAAACTTTTAAGAGTCTATGCAAAGGAGCATGAAATGAGATTCAGTATTAACCTGTACTTTACTAATCACCAGAGATTTGAAACGTAGAATTTTCTCAAGTGCCTTTCATTCCTATACGTAGAGGATTTGCTTCTTTTCATTAGAAGTCCACACAGTGACTTGCTGAGCCCCCATAGGGCACAGCCTGCGCCTCCAAGCTGCTCACAGCCTGCAATGATGGCAGTACTCAGATGTGTGCACAGATAGGATAGCTGCACCTCCTGAAGCTGGCCGGCCTCCAGGGTGCCAGTGTAGTCATTCACACTTGACAGAACCTAAATAGGAATTCCTTGACTGTACACAGTCTTTCTTGCTTTTGGCCTGGGCTCAGTGTAACTGTCTGGTTTGTGTGACTCTTCCTCATCCTTTCTCCTTGCTTCCCTTTGCTTGATTTTACTAAGATATGAGAAACCTTCCACATATGGTACAGGAAATGGACCATTGTACCTTTGCACAGTGATTTTCCTGTTCTGATTTTCCTAGGTATTGCCCTGGGATTTGAGGTATTCCTCCAGCAGTAGACCACGTGCGTGCACACATATATGAGTATGTGCGTATGTGCAGCTGTGCCCGCACCATGACCGTGTGGCTGTGTTGGCCCAGGAGTCTGGGTTTCTACCTTGGCACACTCTGATGCCTGGTCGTGGGAAGGTTCGCAGTTTAGAGACATGAGAGAAGGCGCCCTGAGCTCTGATCGTGACCATCACAGACACCTCCATGACCTTGCACAGACAGCCTCCCTGGGCAGTGGTTCTCTCCACAGGATGAGGAGTTTCTCTGAAATCCATGGAATGCTTAGGTGTCTTGGGTACAAGTGGGTGACAGTTAGGTGGCTCTTTATTCAGCTGTAGGATTTATGGAGAAAGATTACCAGGCACAAATACTGCCAAAGCCTCCTAAGGATATGCTTTTGGACATCAGTGAAGGTTTGTTGCCCGCACCGTCCACTGTGGGTAGAAGAAGGTGGTGGTCGTGGAGGGCGGCACTGCCCTGAGGCACCACAGTGTGACCTTGGGCACTTGGCATAACTTTTGTTTCCTCAACTGAGGGTGGGGAGCTGCTGCTGGGTAATTGTGAGGCCCCTTGAGGTAACGTTCGGGAAGGATTAGCATGGACGGGAGAATGTTACTAGCAGTCAGCAGATGACGGCCACTTAGTGCTGCTGCTGCTCTGTTGTGTTGTGTCTCAGGATGAAGGGATAGGAAGGAGGAAATTTGTGTTTGGCCATCTGGAGTTTAGCTTTAGGCTTCAAATTCAGTGAGCCCTGCTTATAGGGTAAATGTTTGTCAGTACTGACTGTCTGATTTGGATGCGCGCTCATCAATTTTGTTTCAGAGTAAAAACAACCGTCCTCTCCGTACGAGCCAGATCTATGCCCAGGATGAGAATGCCACACACACCCAGTTGTACACAAACCACTTTGACTTGATGAAAATGACTGCCGGCAAAAGAAGCCCCCCGATCAAACCTCTGTATGTTTCCTAAGTTCTTATTTTACATTAATTATGACTGAGTGAACTGTGTGAAGCTGGTTCCTGATATTTATTTTTAACATCTCCTTCTTCATTATATTTTTCCTTTGTTTAGTAATTGCTGTCTCATTTTCTGTACTGCAGGCTTGGCATGAATCCTTTTCAGAAAAACCCCAAGCATGCCTCTGTGTTGGCAGAAAGGTATTTCTGTATTTGTGACACATTTTTTACTGTTTGAAATAATTTCATTTCAGTGTTCACTTAAATTCAGTATGTTTTGTGAATTACTGTGCAGATAGTGTGTTCCAGGTGTCAGCTGGGGAAGGTACAGCGGCTGAGCCTGAGAGGGTGCTCAGTCTTCTGCCATTGGGCGTGGTGTTTGGGACAGGCTGTTGTGACCACACTTTGGCAGGGGAGACTGTCACACACAATGAATGTGCTCTTGCAGGGGAGGGGGCTTTCCTCCTCTCATCTGCCTCTCTTCAGGCACACATTTTGCTGACCATGCTTTAAAAATATAAAGTTTAGGTGAGTATGCTTGCTTTGAAATTCAGCAAAAGGTAAAAAAAAGATGTGTTGATGGATGGGTAGAGAATGGGCAGGTGTGAGAGAATGTGGAATCTGCGTGCTGGGCGTGTGAACGTTGGTGGTGTTTCTGTGTGTTTGACTCTTTGTAGTAAAATGTCAGGAAGGAGGTCTGCTCAAATGAAACAGTTGCCACCTCCGATGGGGTATTGCCATCACCCAGGTGCAGTATTGGGGTTCCTTCCTGTCTTGTTGCTGCTTTCTTCTTGGTCCTTCTGTGGTCTCCTTTTCCGCATCTGTGGGGTGGTCTTGTCACAGTGAGTTGGCTCCAGGTGCTGCTGAGAGCCTTTGATGGCCTACCCCCTGCCGATGCTGCATATGGCCAAGCCCTGGCTTCTGATCTGACCTGCTGCCGGCAGCCTCTGCCAGACTGAGCTTTCTGATCCCACCTACCCCAGGCCCCACTTACTCACTGCCTGCCTTGTGAGGCCTTTCCAGACCATCCCCTTGAAACTGCCAACTCTGCCCTGGTCATCTTCAGATGTGCTGCGTGTTTACTTATTTGTTGTCTATCACTGAGCTTGGGGGTAGAGGGATCCTGGTACTGAGAGGAAAGAGCAGGTGTTTGACCTATGCTTGTCAACTAAATGAATGGATGAATTCATTCAGTTGATATGTATTGACACGCTCCGTGCAAGATGGGCACAGTCCTGTCCTCTTTTTATCTAGCACGAGGGACAAGCATGTATAAGTCCTACCTGAGATAGCAGGTGATGGTTTCCTGAGTACTGTGAAATGTGGCTAAGAGAGAGGCTTTGGGTTCAGGGCTGAGGAGCCTTAGGTATTCTAGGGGGTGTCAGAGATACTTCTCTAGGAAAGTGGGGTGTGAGCTTGGCACTGCAGAGAAGAGGACTTGGCGGCCCAGCTGAGAGTGGTGAGGAAGCCAGGCCTCGGGGCCTGAGCAGGGGCTCACACAGCTGCACATTGGAGTTGGGGTTTTCACTTTTACCCACCTGGGAGAGAGGGCTCACCAGGATAGGGGAGGAGCAGGGAGGTAACATTTCTCTTTGGAACTTGTCACAAGGTCTAGCAGGGTGAAGACAGGGGAAGGGGGCCATGTGTTCAGGGCGTGTCCTTGGGGATATGGGGCTTGGGTGTGCATCTAGGGGCCTAATTGGTGGGCTGGGGGCTTGTTAGAGTGTGTCCAGGGTGTATCCACAGAGTTCATGGGAGGATGCTTGAGGGGCAGCAAGTCCAGGGGTCCATGGGCATGCCAGAGGAGGTGACTGAGAGTCTCAGCAGGAGGTTTGGGGTGGAACCTGGTATGTAGACCTGGAGTCTACGGGCTGGGGCAGCAGGTCTGAGGTTTTGTTTTGTTTTTGTGTGTTGGGCTAAGGTAGGGGAGACTCGATCCTGTTTACATGTTGGTGGGACAGGACTAATTGTGGGGAGAGGTGAGGCTGAGGAGGTGGAGAGCCAGGGGCCTGCGTGGGCCAGTGGGGCTGAGGCTCAGCTGCAAAGGGATGGAAGGCTGGGGGGAAGCATCGGAGGGAAAGAGGGTCTCTGGCACAGTGGTGGAGGGGTGTCCTTGTCAGTGAGAAGCCCTGCCCTGACAGTTGTCTAGCACACAGACATTGTGGGGTCTCTAATCTTCTTGACCATGTGTAGGTGCTGCAGAAGTAGAACAGACCCATCTGCCTTCTAGAGCACTCTTTCTTAGAAGGGGAGGAGGAGAGAGGTGGTCTTGGACTTCTCTTCTTTCTGGGGCCCCTCCCACTCACAGAGAACCCCCGAGCTTTTATACCCATGCCTTTGGGGCTGGGTTGGAGCCGCTCTGACACCTGGCAGTTTGTGGTTTCTAGAGTATTTGTCTCTTTTAGAACATGCCTACTTATTTTTAACTTTTGCTTTTTTTTTTTCAGTGGAATCAACTATGACAAGCCCCTGCCTCCCATCCAGGTTGCATCTCTTCGTGCAGAGAGAATCGCAAAGGAGAAGAAGGTGTGGCTGGTCTTGTGCTTGTGTGGGGAAACATAGTTGCCATGGTTTCCTGTCAGACCTGGGAGAGCCTGTGTGGGCCACGTCCACTCTTCCAATGGCCTCTCTTCTTTCCTGACCCTTTCAGGCTTTGGCTGATCAACAGAAGGCCCAGCAGCCCTCCGTGTCACAGCCGCCTCCGCAGCAGCAGCAGCCACCACCCCCACCACCCCCGCAACAGCCACCGCCACTGCCACAGCCACAGCCACAGGCCCCAGGCAGCCAGCCGCCAGCGGGGCCACCAGCTGTCCCGCCCCAGTCCCAGCCTGCGCCCCCGCCACAGCCACAGCCTGTGCAGGCCCCACCAAAGGGACAACCCGCAATAACGACCGTGGGCAGTGCTGCAGTGCTGGTGAGGCCTCCTTCCCAGCTTGGGGCCTGCTTCTCAGAGAGTAGCCCCCTCCACACTTGGGTTTGGTTCAAGCGTTTTCTGTTAAAATGAACACTAGTTGCCAGTTTTAGCAATTTCCAGCCTGCAAACCTTCCTCTTTGAGGAAATAGGCTCTGTCTTTCCCTGGAGGAAGTTTGTCTTTTCACCCAAACTCTGCCATCTCTCTCCTCCAGAGCTTTTGTGAGCTTGGTGATTTTACTCGATTTGGGAGGTTGAGGCAGCTCTTGTTAGCAGAGGTGATTGGGAAGTTGGAAATTACCTAGATTTTATAAAACATAATTGTGATGAATTCATCTCCTTTGCTTCCTGCAAACTTGCAGAGCAGACACTTGGTGTACCAACATGCATGCAGGGCCCTAGTAAGCTGCCTTGTCCTGAGAACACTCTCTCACGTGCTCACCTGTGTGCATAAGTCTCAAGTACCCATGTGGAAAAGCTGCAGATGTGCAGAGTGTAGAGAAAAGAATGATGGAGTTATGACTGGCAGACTGTAGTTGCTGGTAGTCATGGTCTGTGTGTGGCATAGACACATGGAAATCACATGCACTGACTCACTGGCTGAGAGCACATTCTGTGCTAAATTGGTGTGTCAGCTAGGCGTGGAAACAATTTGGTTACTTAGAGCCATTTCCTATACATTCTTTTTAAAAACTGTATTTGCTGTAGTGGGATTTTTATATGCACTTGGACTTTGTTCTTCATTCATTCAAAAGATATATTTATTATGCACCTGCTTAGTGCTAGGACTGTCACAGCGAGCAAGATGGGCAGTTTCTCTGCTCACTGGAGCTTAGGCCATCAGACAGGAGCGGGTCACTGCAAGTATGGACGGGAAGGAATCAAGGCTGAGCAGCAGTGCATTGGTGAGGAACTGACGTTTGAACCAAGACCTGTGTGGCAAAGGCTTGGTTGTGAACAAAAAGCAGCAAGAGTAGAGGCCCAGAGCTTAGCCGATGTGAGGGCCAGAAAGGCCTGCATAGCCGGAGTTGGGATGAGGGGTAGTGGTGGAGGACGGGACTGGAGCCAGCCAGTGTGGCTGCAGAAACATGGCCAAGAGTGGATCTGATGCTGGTGTGTGAAGCCTTGGAAGGTTGATGCAGGGAGAGCTTGCAGTGAACTTGAATTGAGTTTTCTTTTTTAAATAGGCGGGGACCATTAAAACACCAGTTACTGGGACAAGCATACCAACTGGTAAGGAGAATATGGAAATGTTGAAATAAGAAATTACTTTTTTCTGGTTCTCTTGCCTCACACGCCTCTTCCTCTGCAGGCACCGTGGGTGGAAATGTGATTGTGAACACCATTGCGGGTGTCCCAGCCGCTACTTTCCAGTCCATTAACAAGCGTCTTGCTTCGCCAGTGGCTCCTGCAGCCTTGACTGTGAGTTGTCTCTACACTTGGGGAGCACACTGTGACTTTGTATCGTAGGGAAATTATTATTATTTTTAAAAAATAGTACATCAGTGAAAAAAGTGTTGATCTAGTTTGAATTTCATAAAATAAGTAACTGGTCAATATGGTGGTTTCAGAAACACTGAGATGTTTAGGGGATGGTTTCTATTTTGTACTTCATGGGAACGAGCATATGAGTTGCAAGTGTGTGTGATGAAAATTTTTGCCCACAGTATGATTTTTATTGAGGTGGGTGGGACATGAGGACATATGGTGAATTTCGTTGTGCCTGTGTGGGGCACCAGAGAGGGGGACAGTAACCGTCTGGGGGTGTTGCACTGGAGGAGGGCACGTGACTTGTTGCTGGGGTGTGTGCAAGGGCCAGGTGGGGCACTGGAGAGAGAGTGGTCAGCTTCTGTAGGAATGTCTGGACCTCAGGTGTGGGAGGCAGGTTTGGGCCCTCCTGGGCAGAGAAAACACTGAGGAAAGATTCTGAGCTGTGGGATCCCCGAGCACAGAACCAGAGGACATATTCTAGTGTCCAGCCACCTGCTTTTCTTTGATATTTCACCATAAAAACAAAACAGAACTGACATTAAAGAGTTTAAATTTATATCCTGATTTCCTGTTTAGTCACAGGCCCAAAGGCAACATGTACCCTGAATAGAAGAAACACTGCTTCAAAGTCAGTAGTGCTTTGGCAAGTAGAAAAGTTGGTTTGGAAAAGTGTCACTCCTGTGAAGATGTTGCTATAATATCTAGATGGCGTTGTGTCGGCAAAAGGATAGACACTTAGACAGATGGAATCAGATAGAGATCCAGAAGTATATGCTCCCCCTTTTCTCTCTCTCTCTCTCTCTATATATAAGATGGAATCAGATAGAGATCCAGAAGTATATGCTCCCCCTTTTCTCTCTCTCTCTCTCTCTCTCTCTCTATATATATAGTCAGTTGAATTTGTTAAAAGTCCAAAGGAGTTCGGTGGAGAAAGGATAGTCAACAAATGGTGCTGGAACAATTGGGTAGCCTATGTTAGCATATGCAAAATAATGAACCTTGACGTGTAACTTACACTGTATATAGTCACTCAAGATGGATCTGAGACCTAAGTGTAAAAGCAAAAACTATAAACTTCAAACCAAAATAACATTTCTAGAAGAAGACATAGGAGAAAATCTTGCTACTTTGGTTTAGACAAAGATTTCTTAGGATACCAAAAGTCTGAATTATGAAAGAAAATAAATTAGGCTTCCTCTAAATTAAGAACTTCTGCTCCTTGAAAAATATTAAGAAAATGAAAAAAGCAGAGACTGGGAGAAAATATTTGTAAAACATATCTGATAAAAAAGGACTGGTGTTCAGATTATATAAAGATCCTTCAACTCAGTAATAAGAAAACAACTTAAATACATGGATTTAAATACAAATGTTTGTAGTGGCTTTATTCATAATTGCTAAAAGGGGAAGCAACCCCAGTGTCCTCCATGGTGAATGGACCAATAAATTGTGACCTACTGATACACACAGCCACACGGAGGAATCTTGTATGTATCCTGCTGCTAAGTAAACAGAGTTTCAAAGGCTATATGCGCTGCATGATTTCATTTAAATAGCATAAAAGAGGCAACACTATAGGACAGATAAATGATTGTCAGGTGCTGGAGGTGAGGGAGGAGTTTGACTTCAAAGAAGAACATGAGAACTTTCAGGAGTGGTGGAATGTTCTGTATCAGGATTGTGGTGGTACTTAAATGACTATATGCATTTGTCAAAATTCGTAAAACCGTATACCTAAAACAGGTGGAATTGTGTAGGTAAGATATACTTCAATAAATATGACTTGAAAAAACAGTCTCTAAGCAGTAGAATATGTATATATAAACAGTTTTTCTAGTATGTGACAAGATTATTTCATATATTTTTCTTCTACTTTACAATAAACTACTTTAGGTTCAGTCATTTCAATACATAGCAAGTTATTGATTAGGTTTATCACATTGGGAAAATTCTATATGATGAGTACCATTATTTCTATGAGATTAAGAAGCTAAAATCATTGCATTTAGTGTTTTATTTTGAAAAAGACCTATTTCTCTGTGATACTTTAAAATATAAAGTACTTCATTACATATTTTTTGAGCAGCTCTTAATGTACAAGATACTCTTCCTGGTGCTGTGGGCATAGGAACAGGAATCAAAGACATGGCATACTTTCACAGGCGTCTCGTAATTTTGTAGCTGGAACATGAAAGTGGTAAAGATACCATGTTGTGGACAGTCGGTTATCTCACTTTGGGGAGTCAGGGAAGGCTTTCTGGAGAAGGTAGCATTGGGCTTCACAGGGACAGGAAGCGTATCATCCACAGAAATGACTTCTTAGAAGGGAGGGCAAGAGCATGAGCAGAGGCTCAGAGGTGGGAGGGGAGTGGCACATGTGGAGAACAGCAGGAGGTTCTGTTCGGATGGAGCACAAAGTATACTAACAGAGCATTGGTGGCTCCCTGATCCTTTAAAATGAAAGGTTTTTTTATTGAGTGGCTACTTGGTGCTTTGCACTGTGTAACATTGAGTCTGTATTGTGTTGGGGTTTGGATATTGGAGTAAAAATACGGATTTTATTCATCAGGTGGTGGGGATCCCATGAAGGTTTTTGAGCAGAGGTATGTTCTAGGAAAACTAATGTGATTTTATGTGTGTAGAACTGGTTAGGGTAGAACAGGCTAGGGAGAAAACTATTTCTATAGTCCAGAAAAGGACTTCTATTTCTGGTAGTAAAGTGAGTTGTTATTTTTAACACCACTCTCTTAATGAAAAGAACTAAAGATGAATTGGATAAAAATTTTACAAAAAATTTTTTTTTTTTTTAAAGATGACCGGTAAGGTGATCTCAATCCTTGGCTTGGTGTTGTCAGCACCATGCTCAGCCAGTGAGCCAACCCAGCCATCCCTATATAGGATCTGAACCCGTGGCCTTGGTGTTATCAGCACCACACTCTCCCAAGTGATCCATGGGCCGGCCCTAAAATTTAAAAAATATTCTTAATGGCTTCAAGGAGCTGACAAGGAATAAATAATTATCAGGCTAAAGTGTAAGGGAAAGAAGATACCCAGAGAGATAAGTAGGATGCATTGAAGTTATGTTTGCCTTGAGAATAAATTTCAACTTGTGGGCTGGTTGGTTAGCTCACCTGGTTAGAGCATGGTGCTAATAACCTCAAGGTAAAGGGTTTGGATCCCTATACTGGCCAGCCTCAAAAAAAAAAAAAAAAAAAAATCAACTCGGGACAAGGGGACTCATGTTGAAGTCAGAGACTTGCCAGGGGTGGAGGGTCTAAAAGGAGGCCACTGACAACATCAGCTGGAGGCTTGGATGGCTAAACCCTTAGGGTGGGAGCGAGCTGGCAGTTAGATTATCTGCCGTGACCTCCAGGGGTCAGAAGGAGAGCTGCCCTTTTGTTGAAGAGAGGGTTAGGTGGGGACTGTCCCTGAGAAGTGGTGATCACAAGCTAGCTCTTCTGTCATTTGGCAGCTCAAGTGAAAATTGTCTAAAAAGAGCCCAAAAAACTCCTGAAGTCAAGTGAAGTAGACTTGGATTGAGAGTGCCCTGGATGGTGACCCGAAGCAAATGCAGATGTTCTCTGCAGGATCATGGCTTCATCTTTGACTTTTTAGAATTTCCACAAATAATTTCCAAGTAGAATGAACAGCATAATTGAAAAGTGACCAAGTACACAGGAAAACAAGGCACCAACTAAAGCCATCAAGGAGGATGACAAGGAACCCACCACTGCAGCAACAAGGAGACCTTAGAGGCTCCAGAGGCAGGTTCCTTAGAGGTGGAGCCAGGAGCTGGGGAGTGCTGTTCTTACTGTGATGAAAGTGGATAACTGCCAATCCTGGAGTCCCGTACCTTTTGAAAATATCTCAAAGAACAGGATAAAGTAAAGACATTTTCAGACAAAACCTGAGAGGATTAATTAGCAGTAGATCATCACTAAATGATGTACGTTAAGCAGAAGGAAGGTGTTCCCAAGCTGGAGGGTCTGAGAGACCAAAGGAAGGTAGAGCACAGGAAATAATAACTGTGTGGACTAACATAGATGAAAATGACTTTACGTACAGTAGCAACTCACTGTGGGATTAACAAAGATAAAATTAATATACATTATAATAACATGTAAGTTGGGAAAGGGGTAAAAGTGTTAAAATGTTCTTAAATCTCCTTATTGTTCAGGAAGAGCGTGAAATTATTAACTTTAGACTTTGATAAGGATTCATGATATAATTTTTAGATGAGCCACCAAAGGAGTAAAAATAGAGTATATAACTTTTAAACTTTGGTAAGGAAAAATTGGATAAAAAAAATAATAAAAGGAGGCAAGAAAGGAGATTTAAAAGAAATATACAGGGAGGGGGGAAGAGGAACGGGTAAAGGGTCACGAAAATCAACTAAAATGTATATTGAGAAGTTAAAATAAAAAAGAAAAGAAAAGAAACATACAACAACTGGATTGAATAGAAAGCATAGAATAACATGCTAGATTTAAATCTAAATATGTAAGTAACGAAATGTGAAAGGATCAAAAACAAACTGAATAGTCCGTGAAACTATAATGAATGTCAGAACCAAGAGAGCTGCGGAAGCAAATGACACATTCAGGGGAGATTTCAGAGGTGTAGTTAGGGTTTGTCTTCTAGTTTATTGGGGACTAGGGAAGGGCACTAGAAGTGCAACCAGGGTTTGAGCTTGGCCACTCTGGCCGATGCTCCTCCCCCACTGGCCAGAGAGTGAGCTTGGGAAGCAAAGGGATGCTCTGAATTTTAGGCAAGATGAAGTTACGATGCCACATGACTCTAAGCAGGTGGAAGGAGATTTGGGCTGTCGCTTCTGTGCAGACTGGGGACAGTGGTGAAGAGTTAGTCTGTGGACTGTATATTTTGGGGAAGAGGAGGTGCCTGCAGGAGAGTCAGGAATTTCATACTACTCCTTGGGACCAGAGGCCTTTGAGTGGAGAGAGGCACAGGAGGTGTTTTCAGCATGCGGATGGGAATGTGGTCACCTGAAACTGTTGTGTCTTTCTATCTCAATCTGATCTGCTATAAGAAAACATTGCTCATAGCCCAAGGCACGTGCTTTTGAATTTACACATGAAACCCATACTCTGTCAGTGCTTTGTGAAAAGACTGAAAGCTAAGATGTATTTCACAGCCTGGGGTTCTGGAGTTTGGTGCACTTTTCTTTCCTGCTCTCAGTGTGGAAAACCCTGGAGTGTAGGGCAAAGTGATTTGATAAGGTCCCTGTTTGCCTTTTCTAGACGTCTGGAGGCTCTACTCCTGCCCAGGTGGTTCACACCCAGCCACGAGCAGCCGGCTCCCCAGCCACTGCGACCACTGACCTGGTGTCCATGCCAACGACTCAGGGTGTTCGAGCGGTCACTTCTGTGACAGCCTCCGCCGTGGTCACCACCAACCTGACCCCAGTGCAGACCCCGGCACGGTCTTTGGTGACCCAGGTGTCACAAGGTAAAGGCAGGCTTGGTGCTAGAGCACGTTAGAGCTTGAGCTTCTGCCTGTCGTCTGAGAAGTGAGCATCTGGAGGCAGGTGTGTGTCAGTGTCCAGACCTAAGGAGCAAACCTTTTCCCAGCCACAGGGGTTCAGCTTCCTGGAAAAACCATCACACCTGCCCATTTCCAGCTTCTCAGGCAGCAGCAGCAGCAGCAACAGCAGCAACAGCAGCAGCAGCAGCAGCAGCAGCAAACCTCTCAGGTACAAGTTCCACAGATCCAGGGCCAGGCCCAGTCCCCTGCGCAGATCAAAGCTGTGGGAAAGTTGACACCGGTAAGCATTTCCCAGAAAGTCACAAACGTGTGTGTCTTACAGGTAGCTGGCACAGGTCTGCAAGCTGGTGCCATGTTGCATGAAGCAATTCCAAGTGTATTTTGCAAAAATTTAACATTGTCTTTTTTGTAGGAAGCGAGTTTATTATATTTCAGTGAAACGTAGCACACAACACTTTGATCATGCTTTTGAGAAGTGTCTCACAGCTTGTCCATAGCACTTTGGAGACTTTATTTCCCCATCTGCAAGCGCATCTTCTTGCTTAGCTTTCTCATGCATTGTACGCCCTGGTCCAGTCTCCAGAGAGGGCTGGAAGGCCCACTTGGTACCATCCTCGACCAGAGAAGGTGCTGGTGAGAAAGTATTGCTCAGCAGTTTTGGGAGACCAGGTGGTGGAAACTTGGTTTCTTTAGGAATAGTTCATTTACAGTATTGTTTCTCAAAGATTGGTCATTTGTGGTGTTCCTAATTTTTGCCAATCTGTATACCACCTTTGCTGTTATTTGTGTGTGTGTGTGTGTGTATTCATTTTAAAAGGAAATCTTATATCTCTGCCATCGATAGGAAATCAGTAATACTTGTCATAGCAAGTAACCAGAAAAACACACTGAGTAAAAACAAAATAGTGCTTTGAGGTTCTAGTTGGTTGTTGGGCCTGCCACAGTACCTGAACTTGGGTCTGTTGCCCCTCAGCTACACAGGGAGGAGAGGACTTGTTACAGGGTGTTAGCAACATGCATGTTGTGAGCGGAGGCTCATCCCAGAGGTGGGGCAGCCATGCTTGCGTTGCCTCCACGGTCGGTGTTGCTCAGCACCCCATCTGTGCCTCCTGAGTGGTCTTGCGGCTGCCAGTGGTATGTGGCTATTAAATGAGATTTAAATTAATTGAAATGCAATAAGACAAAACGTTGGGTTCCTCAGTCATAGCAGCCATATTTCAAGGGCTCAGTGGCCACACGTGGCTGCCAACTTGGACAGCCCGGGTGGAGCCTGTTTCTGCCACTGTAGCAAGTTCCCCTGGACAGCGCTAAACCAGAGAGCTACTGTGCCCAGGAACTCCCCGGTCCAGCAGAGATCCATGGATGGAGCTAGGTTTGACTACCTCACGCCCACACAGGTGCCCACTTACCATCCCAGATTCAACCAGTGAGACGTCAGTGCCTTCACATGCCGTTTCTCACCCATTTCAGCTGCCAGGAGCCCCACTTACCCACTCATTTGTGTGGTTCCTTTATTCCTCACTTTATCCTCTCCTAAATGAGTTTCAAAGTCATTTTCATTTCCAGCCTGTCAAAAGAGATCTGATAGTCATGAACAGCTCAATATAGATTTTCCTTAAAAAAAAAAAAAAAAAGTAAAAAAACCATTTATTTCTTAAAATATTTTCGGGACTACTATGTTGATATCTTGATGTTTTTACTTCTTTTAAAGACATGGGACTTACTAAGTTATTGTTTTTTACTCATAGTTATCTAACTTATTTTCTATTAATATTAAATAAGTATGATGGTACTATAGGTTTAAATTCACTTCTTTCTGAGAGGTAAGAACCTAGAAATTTTGCTGTGAACTTACTAATCTGTCAGAATCACTGTTTCTAGTTTTCATTGATGAAATAGTTTTTTTTTTAAATTCGGAGCCATGATCAGATGAAATGCTAATTTTTAATAAGTGAATACTTAAAAAGTGTTGGTAAAACCCTGGAGGATGGTTTACCCTCTGCATATTAGCAGCTGTTTACTTTGGTATTTGATGGATAGTAGAGGAGTAACTTAAAATCAAGATATCTAATTTAAAGAATGGAAGACAGCTAATGTTGAAGAGAAGATACTTTATTTGGGTTTTAGGAACACCTCATCAAAATGCAGAAGCAGAAACTGCAGCTGCCCCCTCAGCCTCCACCGCCGCAGGCCCAGCCAGGGCCCCCACAGCAGACCGCACAAGTGCAGGTGCAGCCCCCGCAGCCCCCGCAGCAGCAGAGTCCCCAGCTCACCACGGTCACAGCCCCACGGCCCGGAGCCCTGCTCACGGGCACCACCGTGGCCAACCTCCAGGTGGCCCGGCTCGTAAGTTCCAGTTTATACATTTATTTGCCAAAAAGTGCCTTTTTACATTTTACTTGAACTGTTATTGCTTGCCCAGGAGCATTTTAGGTATTATGACAGACTCACATGTGGAGCATGAGATGTGATCATTCCTTCCAGACCCAAGTCCTCCTTGGAGAGGACGAGGTACCTCACAGGTAGCAGTACTTCCCAGAACTGATGATGTGTCACCAAGCTTCTCAGGGACTGAATGGTTGGGGCGATAGAGTGAGAAACAAGGAGGACAGTCACGGCATGTAGGGGCATCCCAGTGCCTCAGAGGTAGAGGGTAGGGCTGAGGCCGGTGTGGCTGCTGTCAAGAGAGGTGGCCAAGCCCCAAGCCAGTCACAGGTGGACACTCCGTAGGCAGCAAGAGAATTTGGAGGTTTTTGAAGGAGGGAATAACAGCAAGATCTGTGTGGTGTCTGGGAAGGTCAGTGTCAACGAGTCTCAGTGTCCTGTGGACCTGGCACTGTCACAGTAGTGTTGGTGTTTTCCTATTAACTCTATATTACAAGAAAATGAGGCACAGGCTAAGTAGCTGCCCAAACCCTGCAACTAGTCAACTACTACTCGAGCTGAGGGGCCCAGGTGCTCAGGTTCAGCTGTATGGGGGCTAGGCCTCCACTTTAGGCCCAGCCTAAAGGCACAGCCCCCGACAAGAGAGGGGGTAGAATTGTGAGAAGCAGCTTGGTTTCACCTGTGTGCACAAAAAATGCAAATTCAAATGAGGAGAGTGGTAGCACCCAGTAATGGCCAGGAATGAGGGACCTTCTGAACTGTGGTCAGTGACCTTTTTTGGAGAGGATTTTGGTGATTAATCTATAATAATGTGCACACTATTTAACTCATCAATCCTGCTTGTCATATCCTAAAGAAATAATAGAACAATTACAAAGTGCTGAATGTACAAGCTTGTTTCAGTAATGTTAGGGGAAATTAAATGTCCATTAACTAAGGAGTTCACTCAAATTATAGAGCATTCCAAACAATGGAATATTAAGCAACTTTGAAAAGTGATTGTTGTAAAGGGTAGAGAAACAAGTTACAAAATATCTATAATTCATCCCATTTTTTACTTTCACAGCAAGCCACATAGATAAGGACAGTGCTACAAGGCTAAATACCAGTTTTAACATTTATTTATAGGTAGCTCTGGGAGTATGGGTGATTTTTACTTTCTTCTTTATATTAGGTAATCCCAGTTTCTGTACATAGAAAAATAGACTTATTTCCATTTTCCTTTTTAAAAATGTAATTTATGAAAAAGAGTGCTTGGTAGCAGTGTGGCAGGTGAGTAGGAGAAGGTGGCAGGCACTGCTGGACTGTCAGATGGGAGGTTATGGCAGTGATCTTGGAGTGTGGGGCAGTGGTTGATACTTCAGTGGGAGCCAAAGGAACAGGAGATGAGAGCTTCTGTAGGAAGTGTGGTGCGAGGGTTATTGGTAAAATACAGGAGATGGAGGTGCAGAGGTGAATGTCATATGACATCATTCATGTCTGAGCTGTGGTTGTGTGACTGATTAGCCCGTGGATTGTACTCAGACTACACCTGCGTATCTGCCCGTAACAAGGTTAGCAGGGTGCCCGGCCTCATGATCCGGTATTCCTATATCATGTAGCCATGAAGTCTTCCTTCAGGGTCACTGCCATCTTCCAACTACTTATGTTTTCTCATGGCTTGACCTCTTGTGGAGAAATGTTTGAAAAGACACTCAATATCTTGAATTTCTCTGGACTCTCCATTATTTCTACTGTTTAGACCCGGGTTCCCACTTCTCAGCTGCAGGCGCAAGGGCAGATGCAAACCCAGACACCCCAGCCGGCTCAGGTGGCCTTGGCGAAGCCTCCAGTGGTTTCCGTCCCGGCGGCAGTGGTCTCTTCGCCGGGGGTCACAACCCTGCCCATGAACGTCGCAGGGATCAGTGTGGCCATTGGGCAGCCACAGAAAACAGCAGGTGCCTTCCCCACCCCTGCCCCCTGCCGCTGCTCCTTGCCGTGCTTGAGCACTGTGGGATGGGCACCAGCTCTGCCACATCCTTCAATTAACACCCCTTAGCCATGTCGTTGTATGTTTTAGTTTAAATGCCTCTTGGAGATTTCCGAGGACAAGTTTTGGCTCTCAATTCAACTGTTAATATTCTCAAATTTCCATATTTTTATTTAAATGTGATTTATGAACCCCAAAACATTTTAAATGTATTTAAGGGCTACCTTTATCTGTCTCGATATAGTTCCATAGTTTATAATTTTCTGTGCAGAAATGAGTCAGTCTGAACAGAACTTCATGTGAGCATAAAACTCTATTCACGACCTGGAATTGATGACGGATTGCATTGTGTTTGCAGGACAGACTGTCGTGGCCCAGCCTGTGCATGTGCAGCAGCTGCTGAAGCTCAAGCAGCAAGCTGTCCAGCAGCAGAAAGCCATCCAGCCCCAGGTTGCCCAGGGCCAGGCAGCCGTCCAGCAGAAGGTACTGGCTCCCTGTTTGGATTTTCCACTTGGCGTGTTTCTGAGCTGAGTTGGGCCTACACAGACAGGATCCTGGCTTCATGCACTTGGGTTTCAGAGGGCAGCTTCAGGGATAGAGCTGCTAGTGTGGTTGTAGACATTTGGGTTTTCTTTTCTTCCTTTATAAAATTAGTGCTGCAGGTGATGTGACCATAGTCTGAGAACAAGGCCTGGAGGGAGGCCAGGGGTGCCTGAGGATGGGTGGGTACCAGTAGGGGCCTGCATGGAGCTGTGATGGATGCAGGGCATGGGATTGCATTGCTGGGATGGAGAAGGGCTCAGGGAGGCAAGTGGAGCTCACAGTGTGTGGCCTGCCTGGACTCCTGGTCGAGTCTGTATCCAGGCGCGGAGTACGTGGTAGGCAGTGGGAGAACATGCACGAGGGGCCTGATGAGGCACAGGATGCTGCTTAGAGAGACATCTGAGAGCCTGGAGCCCCTTCCCAGCTCAGTCAGGTCCCTGAGATGAGCTGGCCTGGATAGGGCTGGAGGAGGTCACTGTAGGAATAGACAGAGGGGCAGGGTGGCTGAGAGCCAGGTGTGGCCTTGCTGTGGTGATTGTCTAGGAGGGAGGCATGTTGTAAAGGTGTGGGGTCCTCCAGTGAAGGCCCCTGAGGGACTGAGGTGGTCACTGGAGGTTTTGAGTAGGGGACATAGTCCTTACCTGGCTCTGATCCTCCCTAGTCTCTTTTCTTCAGATAACTGCACAGCAGATTGCTGCTCAAGGCCCACAGCAGAAGGTCACTTATGCTGCCCAGCCAGCCCTGAAGACCCAGTTCCTTACCACACCCATCTCCCAGGCCCAGAAACTGGCTGGGACCCAGCAGGTGCAGACCCAGATCCAGGTGAGCCCCGCATGGTTGGAGCAAGGGTGCCAGTGTTGTGCTGTGAGATGCAGTGCATGCTCAGGAGGGGTGTGGTGTGCAGAATGATGACAGCCGAGGAGGAGCTGTGCACCCCATCTCTGCTGTAGGGGCTGTGTGGTTCCCTACACTGCTTTGTGGCTTTGCCTTCGCTGTGTCGCCCAGTGGCCAGCATCCGGCTGAGCTGTGTGCGGTTGAATAACACATGAGTGAAGTCTCAGCTTTGTGCTGTGATTGGCCTTTCACTGTGCATGTTTCTGAGCCCCTCCTGGACTTCACACACACAACTCCACTGTGTGAGTGTGCATGGTTGGCCCGCTGAGCAGGGCCATGCCTCTCCTGAGCATGTGTGGGAGTGCGTGGAGTGGATGTGCTAGCTGCAGCCTGTGCATCCCCAGCCATACCCCACCTGCAGTGCAGGCGCTTGAGAGCTGGTTGAGTGCAAGGGAGGTGGTATCTCTTTCTGGTGTTTATGTTTCTCTGGAAACGAATGCGATTCCATCTTTTCACCTGTTTATTGACTATAAGTCTCCTCTTTTGTGAAGTGCCTGTTCAAGTTTGTTAACAATTTTGCTTTTATGTTCTGGATGTTAGTCTTGAGTTCTGTGTGTTGCAGCAGTTTTCTCCCAGTTTATGGTTGTCTTCTCAGTTACTTTATGGTGTCTTTTGATGAATGGAAGTTCTCAATTTTCAGGTACTGGAATGTATCGGTCTTTTCATTTCAGGATAGAGCTTTTCATTTCTTGCTTAAGAAATTCCTCCCAAAGGCCATGGAGTTATTTCCTGTATCTTCTTGTAAAAGCGCTATAATTTTGTTTTCTCATTTGGGTCTTTAATTCTCCTGGCATTGAATTTTGTATATGATGTAAAAATAGGAGTTCAGTTTAACTTTTTCCCCTGAATACACTTATTTTCAGCACTGTTTATTACAGTTGCATTCTTTCCTTCCTCAATCCACAGTGCTACTTCCATCCCAAACCCTGCATGGTTCTGTTTGGGGGCTTTGTCCCATTCCACTGTCTCAGTTATTCTGACTTGACAGTAAGACTCGCTGTGAGGAAGGTGCGTCCTTCTGCCAAGTCTTTCCTCAGGGAGATCTTAGCTCTTCTTGGCTTTTTTCACTTCCGTGTTAACTTTAGAGTCAGCTTACTAAGTTATACAGTCAAAACTGTTGGAGTTTTTATTAGAATTGCATTGATTCTTTTCTTTTTCTGAATGACCAGTACAGGGATCAGTTGAACTGGGAATCCCTGACCTTGGTGTTATCAGCACTGAATTGCATTGATTCTGTAGATCAGTTTGGGGGAGAGTTGACATCTTTACCATTTTGCCTTCAAATTCATCAACATAATATATCTTTTGTTACTTAAGTCTTCTTTAATGCCTTTTAATTAAGTTTTCTAACTTTTTCCATAAAGGTTTTACAGATTGTGTTAGATTTGTTCTCAAGTAATCAGTATTTTCTGATGTTTTTGTAACTAGTATGTTTTTACATTTCCATTTTCTGTCTGTGGCCATTGTCCATTTTTGTAAATTGATTTCTGAATCTAGCAATCTTGCTAGATTCTTGCTATTTGAATAGTTTATCTGTAGGGTTTTTTGCATTTTCAACTTTAGCAATCAGTGGGTAACGTGTCTCAACCGGGTCACTCTCACATCTTTTTCTTGCATTTTCTTTGTGTGCAGTCATGTTACCTGTGAAGAGTGACAGTCCGTGTCTTTCACTTGCTCCCATCCCTTTTCTTGTTCTTGCCATGCTGTGCTGGCCAGTCCCGTGGTATAGTGCAGTGGGTGGAAGCAGTCCAGCAGAATGCTTAGTTATGTCACTGGGAAGGGTGATGTTTGCTGTTTGGGTTTTTGTATCACCCTGGGTTAGGGTAAGATAATTCTGTACTTTTCTAGTTTGCTAGAAGTTTTCATCCTTTTTGTTATGGTGTTTTTATCTTTTTTTTTTTTTTTTTTGGCAATCAGCTGGTAGAGGAATCCGAATGCTTGACCTTACAACACCACATTCTAACCAACTGAGCTAACCAGCCATCCCTGTTTTTGGTCTTTTTAAAAACCATCTGACAATGCTCCCTCCCTGGTCTGTCTCCTCCTGCCTCAAGGCTTTCATTACTTACTCTCTGTGCTGATGACGCCTAGACTCTCCTCTGCAGCAATTGTTGTCCCTATTCCATGTTCTTAATCGTATCTGCCTTTGCCTTTTGACAATTCCTCACAGATGTCTGATCCTGCAGTACCTCCTTCCTCACATGATTTTCTCTACATATGCTAATGCAGTGGATTGTATTAATCATTCTGGGTAACTTAACTGGTTCTGTGGTATTTATCCTACTGTGCATTGGTGAATTCACTTTGCTGGTATTTTCAGTATGTTTGCCTCATGGTTTCTGGGCTATACTGTCTCTCATTATCCTACATTAGACTTTCTCATCAGGGTCTTTGTTTCCTTCCTTCTGCTTTTGGGTTTACTTTGCTATTCTTGTTTTGAACTTGTTGAGATGGAGTACCACTTGGGCTTATTTCACACATTTTATCATTTGGTTTTCTTTTAGTCTTAAATAGTTGTGAATTTTCATTTTGATTTCTTCTTTGCTGCCTGGGTTCTTCTTAGAAGTGTTAAATTTCCAGATGACATTTTCTAGTTATCTTTTATTGTTAACTTTTTAAAAATCTTTGTTGTATTGCTGTCAGAGAATGAGGTCTGAATGATTTCAGTCTTTGAAATTGGTTAAAACTTGCTGTATGGTGCAAGATACGGTCAGTTTCTTAAACTATTCTGTGTCCATATGGGTGGTTTTTTGTTTTTTTTTTGGTCCTAGTTTTGCTCCTCTACTAGTTTGAAAATTATGTATTCTCTTTTTCTTCTTTAAGTGGTTATCCTAAAATTTCCACATGCACACTTACCTTTTTGAAACATAAGGTGAGCTGTTATCTGTCCTGTTTTTCAACAACAGTCTCATCACATCATATCTCCATTTATCTTTCACAACTGAAATACTGCTATTTTCATGCATCTTAATTTTATCCTTTTTCATCTTGGACTTTTTATGTGATATTATTTTTCTTCCATTTGATGTATATCCTTTGGAATTTCCTTTAGTGTTTGAAAATGCCTGTATTTTACTTTTGTTCCTGAAAGATAGTTTTGCTTTGTACAGAATTCTAGATTGACGTTTATTTTCTTAGTACATTAACAGTACTATTCCCTGGCTTCGGGTGTCTTTTGTCATTGATGAGAAGCAGATGTCCATTTGGCAAGTCACTGCTCTGGTGGTAATCTACCTTTCTCACCTCTCTGGAGACTTTGGTGTTTTGAGTTTCACGACAACACTCTAGCATGAATTTATTGAGCTTCTTGAATCTGGGGTTTAGGAGATGACCAGCTCTTTGTGCAGATGTTATATCTGCCTGGTTTTCTCCTCCCTCCCATCCTCTCAGCATCTTCTGCATTTTCCGTCTTTTGTCTCGCTGTGCTGCATTCTGACGAAAGTCCTCCACTGTCTCTCACTTCACTCACTTTCCCTCAGTTAGTTTTGATTTGCTCTTTAAGCTTGTCCATTGCATTTTTATTTTGATTATTTTATATTTTTTATTTTCAGAAGGTCCCAAATGTGCTTGGTTTTTGTTTTCAGGCTTCGCAGAGTGAACATAGTTATTTTGTCAGTGTCTGAGAGTGCCTCTGTCTGAAGACATGCTGCATCTGATTTTATTGTGGCCTTAGGTACTCTGTTCCTTTGTCTTACAGTAATTTTTTTCTTGTGAGCCAGTTTTCCTTGAAGTTGTAGTTGTGGGAATGCTTTGTGACCTGGGGTGAGGATGCTCTGTTGCTGCTGCTGGGCTCCTGTGAACTGTGGGTACGTGCTGCACAGCTTGTGACTGCAGGGTTTTGTATCTCTCAGGTGGTGTCCACATGGTCTCTAAACATGTGTCTCCTTCCCCACACCCTGGTATCAAAGCTTAAGGCAGGTGATTTCCTTACAAGACCCCTTTGGAGGGAAGGGAGTATATTCTTTGAAGCTTTTAGGTATATTAATGTGGCAATGTCTCCCTTTAGGAGGCAGCTGTGGGGGCATTGGTGGCTCTCCTGCTAGCTGCTTACTGAGGGCGGGGTCTGGCCCTTGTGTCTGGTCCTCTGTGCTCTGTGAGACCCTGAAGACTGCAGCGAGAGGTCTCCTGCATCTGCTCATTGCTGAGGTTTTGGAACTGGCAGTTCCTTACTTTTTGCAAGTTTGTTGGTGCACTTAAGATGTGTGGCATTTTAAGACATTTCAGTATTTTCAGTGGCTGGCCTACTGTGGCTCTGAAACAGCCCTGCGTAGCTGGCTGTGTCTTTGTTTCCTGTCAGTTCTGTGGTGGCATGAGCAGGGGCAGTTCTGATATTAGTGAAATCCTACTTACAGTTTTTTATTTTAAGTTATAATAAACTAGTGTCTTCTTAGAAATTTTAATTTTAATAATGAGGATTGACATTTATTTGGAGCTTTGTCATTGACAAGTACATCATATAATTTCACAGTTTCCCCAGAATTATTTTGGGTAAGAAGTATTTTCATCCTTTATCTGTAAGTAAGAGAGCCACACAAGGGGTGGGAGTCCATGAAGGGCTTCTGCTTTTCTGAGCTGGCATCCCAGATAGCTCTGATGGGACACAAATGGCCCCAACCCTCCTAATACGTCAGACTGCAGAAGATGCCCACAATGACCATCTACAGAAAGAGACACTGGGCAGAAAGTTTTGTTTTAGAAATAGTAAGATCTTAACATGATTTTAAGAAAAATGGAGAAAGGTGATAAAATAACCACTCTCTAGACTAAGGCTGATCCTTGGTGTTCTGACCCCAGACCTCTGTACTCCCGCTTCAGCTTGCTATCTGAACACAAGTGTGGCTGCTCCAGAACATCGTCCAGACTGTCACGCAGCAGGAAGTGCTGAGATATTTAATTTCATTCTCAGTCTAATTCTTGCATGTAAACTTGGAGCAGTTTTTATTAAAAGAACAAATTTAGCCAGCTGGTTATCTCAGTTGGTCAGAGTGCAGTGTTGATATCACCAAGGTCCAGGATTCAATCTCTGTTACTGGCCAGCCACCTAAGAAGAAGAAAGAACAAATTTATCTGAAATACAAGACCAAAAATAAGCTTAAATTACTGGAGATTACAAATCAGGCAGGCAGACGTTACTCACTGTCAAGGTGAAATAGTTTGTTCTCTGAGTATTTCAGGTGAGCACACTTTGACCTGGTGACCCAAAAGAACAATTCTCATTGTGTTGTTTTTGTTTTTGCATAAAGAGCCAAGAAAGAAAGAGAAAATTCTCTTTTTGTATGCACATTCTTTTGAATTGTCCATTTGGCTTTTTTTGTTTTGTCAAAGGTTGCAAAACTCCCTCAAGTTGTTCAGCAGCAAACACCTGTGGCCAGTATCCAGCAGGTCGCCTCTGCTTCTCAACAGGTAGGACACAGAGACACATGGTGGTTCTGAAGGGCTCACGTCTTGTTGATAAACTTCACATTCCTTGTGTTGAGAGAATTTGTGGTTTTCATCCTGAGGAAGTAGAATTTTAGTGATTATAGAATCACTTTTGATTTTTTTGCAGTACATGCAAAAACATTAACTTGGGGGGAAAAACTTAATACCCTTAATAGTAGGGAAAAACTGAAGAAACATGTTTAAACTTAGTGTCAGCTGTACTGAAAGAACCTTACCTTGTGCTCATTTCTAGGATCATTCATTCAATAATCTTAGGTGTGTCCTAGAAGGTAAAGGCACTTTACGTACTTTTTAGAGAAGTGTAGACCTAAAGGAAACAGATTTGCTCTCAGTGATCCTGGGCCCAGGAGCAGAAGTGCTGGGAGACAGTGATGACTTTACCTTCCTGACAAAGAGCCTTCGGGATCATTTACTGTTTTTATTTGTTGCTACAAGATGTGGCTATATGGCACAATGCTTTAAATTTAAAGCAATGTTTAAAATGCTTTTATTTTGTTCAGAGTCACCCTGGCATATAGATTTCAAGAAGCCAAATGGTATTAAAAGCTTTACAACAGCAACAAAATCAGAGGCATCTGGTCTTAGTCTGAAAGCAAAGACATTTTAATTTTCTGTTTTGTTCAGTAGGAACAGAGGTCGTATTTAGGTAAGTCTGCCAGTTCTCACGTCATAAAAGCATACTTACCAGTGAAGCTTCTTGAACTCCCTCCCCATCCCAAAGAACATCTGCCGTCTTGTTCTTGGGCTGAGTTTTCTGGGTGACTTGTGTTTTCTGACTCTCTTGGCTCAGGCTTCTCCACAGACTGTGACGCTCACGCAGGCTACAGCGGCAGGGCCGCAGGTGCAGATGATTCCCGCAGTGACTGCTACAGCCCAGGTGGTCCAGCAGAAACTCATACAGCAGCAGGTGGTGACTGCGGCGCCGGCCCCACTTCAGACCCCAGGCACTTCACACCCACCGCAGGCACCAGCCAGCTCTGACAGCCCCAGCCAGCAGCCCAAGCTACAGATGAGGGTCCCTGCTGTCAGGCTAAAGACACCCACCAAGCCTCCATGCCAGTAGTCAGGAAAGCAGAGGCTGTCTCATGGCGAAGGCACAGACTACCTTCCTCACAGAAAACACTTCATTTAATTTTGAACCTTGGGACAATGTCATGTAAGATATTCAGCACTCGGAAAAGCTGTTAATTGAAACAATGTAGTGTAATCATTTTATTAAAATGCATTCTACACTGCAGGAAAAGTGATTCTTACTGAATGCCCCCTTTTCTGTATTATGTGACTAATTGAAAAGTATCAGTGACAGTCTTTTCTAAATCATTTTTAACTTTTGGTTTTTCCTCCAGAGCGATACTGCTGGATTTTGAAAGCCATTTAGAATTTCTCTGTTAGTGTATAGTATTTTGTACATCCAAAAGCCATTTGGAATGTGCAGTGAGTCATAAAATAGAATTTCTAAAGCTCAAATATGTCTTCGGTGGTGTCTGCCATAGTTTAGTTCTTTATACCTAACTGAAAAAACGTATCATCATCATTATAGAGGAGGAAGCCTTTGTAAAGTAAGTTGTCTGAGACTGGTTTTTCATTCCAAAGAAAGCCAATAGGTTTTTTCCTTCCCTCTTAAAATACGATTTGTTTAAACTTTTAAGGGAGTTACTTAGTACTGGTACCTGTTTAAATACACATGATAACTCGAGATTGTGTTTAAGGAAAATGATTTGTGATTCAATTTACATTCCAAAGAGTAGCTAGTGTGGTCTCCCCACTGAGCCTGACCCCCCCAGTGAGATTTGCTTTCATTTAAAGGAAACTTTTGGGACAGATACCAATCTCAGTGCATTCATGATGGGTTCCCAGCTTTCCCATAAAGCTCATATTTGGACTTGGTGTGGTGGACAGCTCCAGGGAACCTTGGTCATGCTCTTGTCCTGCACTGGTATGAAGCCCAGAATGCCGGGCAGGTGCTGTCAAGGTGCAGATTTACGGATGTGTGTGTGTCAAGGCGGGCAGCTCCACAAGGACCAGGTGGATGTCATAGACATGCCCTTGCCACCATCCGTGACTAGCCCAGGCTTTACTGGAAGCTGAGAAACCTCTGTGTATCAGGTGGTATGTTTATGACTCTGGGTGTGTTAACCACAGCAATGGGCCTTGCAGCTCCTTATCGCAGACTTGGAGCATCAGCTTTTCTGTCTGACAGATAAGCTCACTGTGGTTTTACCTGTCAAGGGGAGAACCACCTGCACTGTTTGTGAAAGGTGCACAGTTGAGGGGAAAAGACGAAGCCCAGGATTTGCTGTTGTTTTTATCTTTTATTATGGCAAGATAATACATGCAATTTTAGTGGGCTTGACTGGCTGCTGATGTCTCCTGACCTTGAAGTTGTCACCAAATCAAAAAGACACACATCCAGTAACACCCTCTAGGCTGCAGACCTATTTTTGTCTGTTTAATGTTATTTGGTCCAGGAAATTAGGTTATATTAGGTTTTCGTATACTAAGTATCAGTTATGGCATCCTTAAAGATTTTTAATTTTGTATTATATCTAATCCATTTCCTCCTCATTGTGTCACTTAAAGTGACATTAAAGAAGCGGTTCTGTCCTACAGTGTGTTTCCCATCCATCTGCAGGTTCACGTAAACAGCAACATAGCAATATTTAGTGAAGCCAACCTGGGACTCATTTCTGAGCTCTTGAGGAGAAACTTGGATAAAGTAAAAATCAAGTGTTGAAAAAACAGAAGGGATTTAACATTTTAGTTAATTGAACATATCAAAACAGAGTACTATAATCTATTTTCTTATAACCAAACCCATTCATTCTGGTTTGTCCTGTGCTGTAGCGAAAGAGCACAGCTCTCAGGAAGGTTCTTGTGCATACTTTGTATCGGGTTTCCAGTGAAAGTTTCTCCTCCTTTTTATCCTCAAATGTGCAGGTCTGAATATATAGGAATTTTCTTTGGTCACCTTATTTTAATTTGTACACCCTGTTCATTTTCTTTTGTCCTTCCCAAAATACAAGTAGTCTCTTTTTAGGTAATGGTGAAATTTTGAGTGTACTTATTTTAGAATATCCTAGCCATAACTGCCTAAATAAAAGTTATCTATTAATCCAGAACACTAGAAGAGACTTTAAAAACATCTCTCACAAGCTTTTTTTTTTTTCCTTTTTGTCTTTTTTCGTGACCGGCAACGGATCGCAACCCTCGGTGTCGTGCCCATACCGGACCGGGACCGGCCACCGGATCGCAACCCTCGGTGTTGTGCCCGCACCTCACTCAGCCAGTGAGCGGGAACCGGTCTGTATGTGGGATCCGAACCCTCGGTGGGAGCGCCGCTGCACTCCCAAGCGGCGCACTGTAGCAGTGCACCACCGGGCCAGCCTACTTTAACCATTTTTAAGAGTACAATTCAGTGACATTAAATACTTTGACAGTGTTGTGTGATCAGCACCACCATTCGTATCCAGAACTTTTTCATCATCCTAAACAGAAACTCTGCACCCTCTTAACAATAACTCCCCCTCCCCCTCCCCTAGCCCTGGGAAACCACCATTCTATTTTCTGTTTCTGTGAATCTGACTGCTCTAGGTACCTCATATAAGTGGAATCATACAGTATTTGTTCTGAGTTTGGCTTATTTTAATTAGCATAATGTTTTCAAGTTTTGTCCATATTGTAGCACATAATATTCCATTGTGTATATATACCCTGTCTTGTTTATCTATTCTTCCACCAATGGACATTTGAGTTGTTTCCATCATTTGACTCTTAAGAATAATTCTGCTATGAACATTAGTGTACGAGTATCTGTTTATGTCCCTGATGTCAATTCCTTTGGTACATACCTAGGAGTGGAGTTGCTGAATCATATGATAATTCTGTATTTAGCTCTTTAAGGAGCTGCAACACTGCTTTCCACGGTGACTGTACCATCTACATACCCACCAGTGGTGCATGAAGGATCCAATTTCCCACATCCTCACCAACACTGGTCATTCTGCATTGTTGTTGTTGTTGTTGTTTTGATAATAACCATCATAATGGGTGTGAAGAGGTGACTCATTGTGGTTGTGTGTGTGTGTGTGTGTGTGTGTGACAGAAAGAGAGCAGCTGGCTCTCTTGGGGCTGGAAAAGACCTCTATCCTTAGATCCCAAGCCCCATCCTCTCGGGAAGGCCAGGAAATCAGTTCCCAGAGAGAGGACAGAACTCTTGATCTCAGCTGAGCTGCCGTGAGCAAGTTCACAAGAGTTCACAGAAGCATGTTGGGCTGAGAAGCTGGCATCTTTCCATGCCTTTCAAACCTACTTCCTAAGACCCTTCAGAACCTTAGAGGGAGGGAGAGAGGGGAGCAGGAGACAGGAGAGCCAGGGTGCACACCAGGGCTCAGTATGGCCAAGAAGAAGTACATACAAGTGCCCATGTATCTTTGTTAAGGCCATGGATTAGGCTCTGTCACTGAGTTGCCAAAGCAAATTATTTTTGTAGGATCCAGCCCAGACTTAAAGATAGAATTACACACCAACAAGGGAGAAACTCAAAATCTGAGTAAGGTTACCAAAAAGGTTAGAACCTTGGAGATTAGAATCTGGAGTGAAGTAGAGGCAAAATAACAGGAAACAAGGTCAAAAAACTGGAAGACCTGATTTGGGCTTCTAAATT